GATTGAGTGAACTGAAATGTCAAATGAAAATTGTCTCAAATCATTAACAGAACACATGTAAAGCTGGAGTACTGTTTTCTGTCAAGTATCACTAAAAAGGATAGTGGAGTTCTATCTTTGAAGCTTCAAAGATTTTCCAGGTCCAATCTGCTTAGATTACTTTTTAAATTAAACCGCCAGCTCTGCAAAGTCAATTTTGAATTTAAACATTGAGCTAGGTTCTTTCAGGATCTCTTATCAACAAAGACTCTACAGTTGGTATGATGCTGAATAAAAGAGAGATGACCATGTTTACACTAAGGTACCATCACTGATGTATCATCCCTGTTGCGCAATTGTGATAAATCTTGTACATATGTCACGTTAAGGTATCATTAGAAAAGTATGATTATCCTGTTTATATGCATGTATCATCATTGTATATGAAGTTATGAAACTTCGCTGTGTTTGTATCTCAAACCTGTTGTGTTTCTGGGTAACACCCCCAGACAGATTTACATCAAGGCTAGCCAGCCTGCTTGATGGCCCATTAAGGAGAATCAGCTCTTCTAGGGACCCCTCCCGAGATCCCTTCAGGCAGCACCTAGGCAATGAATTCCTCATGACCCAGGACTTCTTGTTTGTACTAGTAACTTTCCATGCAGATGTAGGGTTACCATATTTCAAGTGCCCAAAAAGAGGACCCGTGGGGGGAGCGGGGGGAGGAGAGGAGCTGGAGGTACTCACGGGGGGGGGGGGGGGGAATGTTGCTCCCTGTCATGGTGGCTGGCACAGCCCAGGACGCAAGGACAGCCATCCGTCAAGGCCTCCCTGAGGGACTCCCTCCCCAGTGCTAGGAGCCAGGACGTGGGTGGGTGGGATCAGGCAGCTGTGGATGGACCAATCAGCTATGGATGCAGGGGAGGGACCAATCGGGAAACAGACCAATCGGGGCTCTTTCTGAGCTACAGCATCTGCTCTGCAAAAATCCAGGACATATAGTAACCCTATTTGTGACCCAGGACTCCACATTTGTGCCAATAACTTTCCGTGCATGTGTGCTGTGGGTATAAATTGCAGACTGTGACATCAATCTTGGTCTTCATTCCTGCTCCGCATATCTGGGCTATGATTTCTAAGAAAGGGAAGCTTTGAATAAAAGGACTGATGACCCCCAATCCTTTTGGGTGATCCAGAGACTTATTGCAAGCTAACAGATTTAACATCATTGCTAATATCTTGATCTACAAACTCTGAAATCAACTGTAATGTGTAACAGTAGTTCTCAACCAGGAGTCCAGGGCAGGTTTCAGGGGGCCTCCAAGCAGGGCCAGCATTAGACTCACTGGGACCCAGGGCAGAACACCGTAGCCCCACTACATGGGGCTGAAGCCCAGGGCCCTGAGTCCCATCAGCCGGGCTGAAGCCTGAGTAATGTGGCTTCGTGGGAACCCCTGTGGCATGGGGCCCCAGGCAGCTGCCCTGCTTGCGACCCCCTAACACCAGCCCTGGCTTTTATATGCAGAAAACCAGTTATTGTGGCACAAGTGGGCCATGGAGCTTTTATAGCATGTTGGGGGCCCTCAGAAAGAAAAAGGTTGAGAATCTCTGATGTAAAAGGTTTTAACCATTTAATAACTCATCCTTTTTTACATTAATAAACCTTTAGTTTTTAGTTACTAAAGGATTGGCTACAAGCATAGATTTTGGGTAAGATCTGACCTATATATTGACCTGGGGTGTGTGGCTGGTTCTTTGGAACGGGAAAAACTTTAGATGATGTGGTTTTGGTTTAATAACCTTTCATCCCTAAGTCCAGTTGTAGTAACCAGGGGCTGGAGGGCCTAAGGGACTGTTGTGTGGCTCTCTGTGAACTAGTGTAGTGATACAAGAGCTCACTTGGTGATCTCGAATGATAGAATAAACCACCAGTTTTGGGTTATTGTCTGCCCTGATTTTGGCGCACTCAGCTGTGACCCAAACCAGGCAGCTGAACATTTGGAACTTACTTAATTTAGTTGATGAGGCACGAGTCAAAATAAAGTACCATGCGCCCGTCCCCTGGCCCCCACTAACAGAACAACAATGATTTTCATACAGCTATAGCTTCCGTCTTATTTCAGGTTTACCATTACATGTTAGCTAGTATATAAAATATTACATTGATTCCCACTGTGGCCCCAGCCATCGAGCAAAAGGCATGTTGGTAGCACTAACGTGCACAAAATGCAAAATTCCATGGGATAGGATTTGAAGTTTTTGCCCTTTTGTTGAAGGTGCAAATCTGGTTACTTTAAACCAGCATGGCAGTATGTTACTCTGAATGTCATTCACCAACATGTTTGAGGAAACAATTGCTCTCACAGGTGTAAACTTTCTGTAGCCAGAGATGCTAAAGCTTTGAGTGCTATAAACTTTGAAATATTTCTGAACTTGTCCTTAGTACCATTCAACAGTTGATCTCAAGACGAGTCCCTGCTATTTCATGAAGGTCAGAGCCTTAGATTCGCCCTAGCTTTGCATCAAAAGAGTTGCACAAATCTGGAAAAAAAAAAGTTACAGCCTACTCATTTTAGACGGGCCTGTATCTCTCAAAGCTTTTGACCAAATGTCCCTAAATTTCCACTACAAACTCTACCCTCAGTCCCTCTTATAGCATATCAATTTCCATGCATGTGGGCTTTAGAGCAATTGAAAAATTAAAAATCAACTCCTTACTGGAGGGCTGTATCTAAGGAACCCCTGGACCAAATGACTCCAAACTTGCACTACTAACTGTGGCTCTGGTCCTGACGGCACATTAATTTTCAGCACAACTGGACTACGCATATGCATTTTAGAGCACTTTGAGATGGTGGCTCAAACCAGAAGCTTTGCCCCGAGAGCAAACCTTCCAAAAAGGAGCTCCTGCAGAATGCAAGAAGAGAATAAAGTGCACAACACATGTTCTCAGAAAGGCTACTGAGGGCAGGAATTGAATGCATAGTACATGGGCGCTGCTCAGGTTCAGTGGCCACAGCATGTCACCTGAGCCATCCAGTTACTCTGACATCAGGACAGCTGCAGAACACCCTGGCTTGTAACAGCTCCATTCCCGCTGCACATAAGCCAGAGACAAGTCATTTGTGTGTCAGCATGGGCTCAAGCCACATTATAGATCCAATTTTTACACGGAATAATTTAAAATATTGTGTTTCCCCAATGGGGCAGTGAGTGCCAGACCCTAGCTGAGATCAATGCCAAATGTGTTATAGTCAATAGCAGAAACACCAAATTTAATTTTAGAAGTAATGTCCAAGAGAGGAGGATGCTTAGAGCGGAGAACTGGAAACTTAAGTCCATCCAAAGCAAACTGAATAGCTTTCCATGCAGATGTCTGTGTAGAAATATTCAAAATAAAATGAAGAAATCCTTGAATGGGCACAATTATCTACAACAATACAAGTACTACTGAAAAATAGATGGACTTATTTGGGGAAGCCGATAAAAGGCTACCTACACAAGCATTTCTTTGGCTATCCTAGGGCATGAACGCACATACAAAACAAACAGTAAGCTAGTCTCAACCTGAACTATAGTGGTGTTACTGCCCCACTATAATAATTAAAGGTTTAGAGCCCCACTCAACCGACAGTCTACAATGTTTCCCAATGTTTGTTAGTTGTGATTGCATTCTCAGTTATCTGGATCCTGTTGCAGAGCAGAGAGATGGCCAAAGAAGAAAGCAGAATTATTGGCTGGCCAGTTTCCTTGAAGCCAGCCAATAGAAGAGGAAAGTGAAGCTACAGGCTTCCTTCACTATTACCTGAAACCCCTGTCCCATTATCTAAAGATTTCTGATTCCCGAGGCCCCCTGATAACTGAAACTTACTGTAAATAAAACTCAAAGTTTATTAGGGATGTACCAAATCCAATTTCAAATACACAAAGGCCTGTTATTTTTCTGTATTTGAAAGACTCCATATAGAGTATCAATTCCAAAGAAAGTGTATATTTTAAATGTAGATGTACATTTATATTATCTAGTCAGGTGTTCTGGTAGACTTGTAAAATGTTGTTTACCTTTTTGATATCTTCGTGTTCATAAATGCTTGGAGCCAGAGCCAAAGAAAGTCTTTCATAAATGTCTGGTTTTCTGGAGAGGTCTTTCAGCATTTCCACACGTTCCTCTGCAAAGATTTTCTGTTCTGTTTCTTCATCAACACCATGCAAACGTTTTGAATCGGTTTTACGGTAATGAATGACATCAATGTGGGTTTTATAGACTGATTTTACATTGCTCACTCTTGGATTAACTCGAATAGGAACTGCTCTGTAGATACCTAAAAAAACAAAACAAAACAAAACACCCCCAAACCCAACAGAATTACAATGCAGATGTGAATTCAAAAATAAGCTCAGTCCAAACGCTGGAGGTTTAAGGGACTTATCTGCATTTTTACTTTTCACTTCAATTTTCAGATTGCTTCTACAGAATTAGCCACATCACGGAGTAGCAATTCTCTAGAAAGCTTTCCGAAAGTTTAAATGATTTGACCAGGCTGTGATCCTCCTGATATCAAGTGCTTTCTTTAATGTCAGTAGACTAATTTAAATTTTACAAAACTGCTATAGACCAAACACTGAAAATTATGATCTTGATACTGCAGTCCCCTAACCAGCAGTAGCACAGTAAATAACGAGATTCTGAAAGACTGCAAAAAGCCGAAATTAAACACAGCAATATTTGTTTGAACAAAATGGGTTATTAACTTAATTTTATTTTAATTTTTTTTGTTACAAGAGCTGGCTAAAGTTAGGCTCTAACGGTAGGATTTTCTAATGCACTTTAGGTCATGATCCTGCAAACACTTAAGGCCATAACTTTACTACCATGAGTATCCCATCTGAAATCATGGGACATGGTAGTAACGGTAAACACATGGTTAAGTGTTTGTAGGATCAGGCCCTAACTTTAGCCAGCTCTTGTAACAAAAAAAATTAAAATAAAATTAAAAATAAAAAAAAAAGGTTGGCCTGCACATATAAGAAGTTGACAATTTTGTTAGTGCACTGAAAGTCTAAATAACTTTTCAGTATTAAAACTGAAGCAATCTTGTTTTGAAGCAGCAATGATTTTATGCTAATAAGAGAAAAGTTTATATTGCAAACAAGCACATGTAACTTTCAACTTGAGTAGTACTATTTAAGTCCATGGTACTGCTGGTTAGGGGACTGCAGTATCAAGATCATAATTTTCAGTGTTTGGTCTATAGCAGTTTTGTAAAATTTAAATTAGACTAGTGACATTAAAGAAAGCACTTATAGTTAATTCATTATAAATTCTAACCTAACATTTCAAAAGCACAATTTTTAAATTAGTTTCAAAAAGCCTCAACCCAATTTAAATTATGTTAATTGAAATAATTTCAACATGCTTCTTCATCTGTTCAAGAAATCAAAACTTGAAAGTACCTGTAAGCTTTTCAAAAGCTGTTTGATGATAAAAATGCTTCTTTCCCTTTGAAGTATAGGTTAAGAGCTGTAATCATTAAATTTTTAGAAATTGGATAATACAAACATATGGCAAAAATACATATACCCTTCTATCTACACAGATAGTACCTACTGGCAGCTGTAGTTACACTAATGCTGATCTAAGAAAGGGGGAAATATGCAGAACTCTAAAGGTATTTTACACCAAAACTAAGATATCACTATATAAATCAGTCGGTATTTCCACTTCACACTTCAGTTTTCAGTCACCAATTATGATGTACCCAATTAATATTCAACAGACACTATTCCAGGCTGGACCACTTGGTCTAATGAAAAGAAGGGCACATACATTAGCCAGATAAGTTAATAAACTGCATTTTACCTGTAACGTTAACTCTGTCGCCTGGCTGAACCTTATCCACAAGGTCATTGTGAGCAAACAGCACCACAGTATGAGGCGTCTGGCCAGCCGGCATATCTTCAGGAGACTCCTGCAGTTTGATCTGACAAAACACATATTAAAAGTTAGTTTCTATTATTTAGAAATAGTAACTCATTTGTAAGAAAGGATCTTACAACTAAAGAAGTTGGGCATCTTCAAATGGATACTGTTACATATTAGAGTACACCAAAACACAAAACTTTCAAAGATTTCACAACATGGTGGAATACCACTACTGAATTAGAATTCCCCAATTAGAATACCCAATCAGAATTATGCAATTTAGTTGTAGAAATGAGACAATGCCATCTAGTGATTACTATCTCACATTGGCAGAAGTATAACAAGCAAGATTTACAGACAGGGCTAACCTATCCCACATATGTCATATGACATTAGAACAGTCTCCGTGTGGTAACATTTATTCCATAAGTGAACACTAATTGGCTTGACTAACTTTTGACACAAAAAACCCCACTTAACTCCCCTTCCAAATGGAGGATGGATAATCCTTCAATTTCTTTTTCCCCCGTCTAAATATTAAGCATCATTGCAATCCTAGATTGCTTCATATGCTTACTTAAAGAGCTGTGAATCGTTTTGAAGTTCAATATAGTAAGCCCTAAGAAACAGACATATTTTAATATGGTTACGTTATTTTTTAAAAGAAAAAAGCAACTATTAAGCAAGCAAAACTTTCCCATTTAACAACACCAAAACAAAGCAACATACCATCTGTTTGTCTGAAAACATGGAGCGATTGTGAATCAGTGCCATGCTGTGTGTTGTATTACAGTTCTTGCATGTTGATGGTTCAGCAATCCTGCCACGGTCAATTTCTACTCTTGTGGTGAAGGCACAAACCTGGCACTTGAAGAATGCTTCTTGCATCTCAGGAATCAACTGGGAGCTTCTGATCACCATACCACTGATGGTGATAAGTTGGTCAATGTCTACAACATAGAAAGGGATACATGTGATTGGGTCATGCTTTTCATTTTTCATTTGCCTGTCTCAAAAGTCCACCCTAGACTTTATTTTTACAACTAAATGGGCATTTACAGTCCCCACACATGAAGTAGAGAATCTTCTCTCTGAGACACAAAGAAAATAAAATATATATGAATAAAAATAAGCCACAGTTACATCAGAATTTTGACACAAGGGATATAAACCCTTATGTTTCCAAATATAAATCAGTCATTTACCAACAGAGGTTAGGAAAAAACCTCCTTTGTGGGCAGGTTATTCAACAGTTGTCCATTATAGTGTTTTTCGCACTTTCCTCTGCAACACATGTAGTAACTATGAAAGTCTGAAAATACTCATCTAGATGGACCCCAAGTCTGATCTTTTAACATTTTTAATCTGTATTTTCCTAACTGTTGAACAAATTTCATACATCCTTGAGTTTCTTTTTTCACACTGCAATCAAAACATCTTGCCTTCAGGGTTCAGACTCCTCATATTCCTGGTCTTCAATGCATTATATGGTCTGACTTGAATCTGGTGTTCTAATATTGAGTCAGGGTAACGATCAAAAAAGATCTCATTAGCAGCCATGTCAAATGTTGGGATAACTTCCTGTTTAAAAGGAACAGATGCATGTGTAAGAAAGCCTGTCATTAAGTAGTTAACACTTTTTACCCCCAAAATATTCAACTTTGTGACCCCATTTGGTGCTAGGAGACAGAAATGATCACAATTCTGTGGCATTCCCTTACAGAGGAGGAATTGCCAGTTGGTTGTTTAAACCAGCTTTTTGTCCCCTTTGTACTACAGGAGCAGTGCACACTTTATTTGGTCTTGGAACTCTTAGCTGTAGTGCAATTGCCCTACCTTTGTGGGTTTAGATAGAATCTTTGATGATATCCTACATTACTTTAAAAGTCAACAAGGAGTCACGTTACAAATGCAAAATGAAATGTGTAACATATATGCAGAAAAGGACAGCAAAAAAGGGGCCCATGAAGAGTATGCCAAATATACAATTATTATTATGAACCATATGTATTGCATTACCATGTGACAATTTCACTAAATACAGCCGTGACTTTTAGTCATCTTCCTTAATATTTAGCATTAATACACAATGCACACACTAGGCTAAAAAACCCCACTAGTCTTTGGAGAGTAAGGCTCCTTATTTAACAAAGATTAGAATCTAAGCTTTCCTCTAAAGAAGTAGGTTGCTAGCTCTTATGGTTGCAAAGACAAGGATATGGTCAAATGTCAGAATGTGCAGGAAGCTTCATTGTTCTGCTGCTCAGAGTAGTAACTTTCTCAAGCTACAACAGAGTGAAAACTGGCAGCAAACTTCTCTTCAGAATCCTGTGAGCAGCAGTAAAACTAAGCCACAGTTTCATTCTATTGCTACATAGGAAAGCTGTGAGCAGCAGCAGAATCAGACTCTGGAGCTATTCGCTGGGAGAGGAGGAACTCAAAAGAAAGGCAAGGAAAAGAATTTCAAAGGCAGTCCCATGGTTGCAGCTGTAGCTAGGTATATAACAGATTTAAGACAGGCACAAAAAAACTGATAAAGATCCAGTGACCATTACTTTGTCATTCTGGGATTCAGCCTTGAACCTTATTGTCTTTTGAAGCTGCCTGCTTCCTCCACACACCTACATGGCAGAGAGAAATAAACTGGAGCACTGAGCAGGATCCATGGACTACAAACTGGCAGGAATTCCAGCACAATCCCCCTTATGAACAAATTTGGTGAGTGGAATGGGGAGGTTTTCTGAGCTTCTCACAGTAATTTGCCTTTGGAGAGCAGCAACTCTCTCCCTGAGCTCTCTTGTATCTGTCTGTGGCTATGAAGTGTCTGATAAATATTTTAAGACCTTTATGCAATAAAATATATTTTATGCAGAAGTCTGTATAGACAAATGTTATATTATCTTTCTAGATATTTACGGAAGTGCTTAAGCACTGGGGTATGTAGCTATAAATACTGCTCCCTCATTGAGCGATAATCTTAAACAGTTACATACTAATTTATGTTTAAGTAATGCAGTTTAAAAAAATAGAACTCAACTAGAAAAAAGCCTTTAAAAAAGGCCTGATGTTACCTGTGGATAGCAGATCAGCTGCCTGTATAGATTTGTGTCAAATGATCTTAGATGGTCACAGTTTACATTCAGAAATGGTTCCCCAACCATATTGATCTGCAAGATGTTTAAAAACACCACATTAAATCACCAGCATTTAAGTCTGAAAAACAAGTTAGTTTTAGCTGTATTACTGTAGTACCTCCTCAAGTCGCTGCATATAGAGTGGTTCATTAAGATCCAAGCCAACGTTCTCTTCCTCTTTAGCCAATGGATCAATAAAACGCTGAAGAAATCTCTGAATATTGAGAATAAAATAAAAAAGTTATATTTAAGAGTGCCCAAAGGGACAGAGCTGTGATTTCACTGCTACACCATTCCTACGCTAGATGACGTTTTCCTGGCTCAATTTACCTTCAAATATACTCTCTCTACTGCAGGTATTGAAAAACTCCCAAAGGGTAGGGATACCCCTAATGCAGCCCCCTACAGGATATTTCTCTCACGTACACTACAAGTTTCTTAATTCTAACAATATCTCTTGAATTTCACACAGTAAAGCATACCAATTACTTTGAAAAAGCCTTAACTAATTTTTTATAATTTTATAAATACAAGTTAAAAGAACACTTTTGGGAACAGAATAACACGCTAAACATATTACTACTAAAAAAGTATATGAAATTTTACTGAGGATTTTAACCTCTATTACACCCTAATGCCTACAAACCTTACTCCTGGACCAAAATCCCAACATAGTAAGCTCTGTATAAACAGAATTAAAAGTCCTTTCCCAAAAAGCTTACCATCCAAGTATAAGACAAGAGACAACAGATGGATACAGACAGGGACATAAAAAGAAAGAAGGAAACCGTATTTATCAATATGACAGGCAGTGGTCTCAGCACACCAGCAGCCTAGCCGTTGAAAAGGTTTTTATAGGCATCACAGAAAAGGAGAGCCTTAAGAAGAGCTTTAGAGGAGGAGAATAAGGTAGCTTTATAGATATTTACAGGGGACTCCTCCTAAGTGCAAGGGGCAGCATGGGAAAACACACAAAGGTGCTTATTTGAAAATTTAGCAAATGGGCGATAGAAGTGGTCCAACTAGAAAAGAAAGTAGACTTCTCAATAGTTAATGAGAGTTGATGGGTAAGGTGGGGATGGGCCATGACAGACCTTGAAAGTGAAGACCAAGTAGCTTATGCTCAATGCAGCTGAGAAGGGGGAGCCAGTGACGAGACGGAAAGAGAGGGATGATCTCCTCAAAACAACATACTAAGAAAATATTTGTGGCAACATTCTGAACTGGCCTGAGCAGGGTAAGGTTTCATTTGTTAAGGCCAGAAAAAAGGGTGTTGCAGTAATCAAGACACGAGGAGAGTTTTACGCCAGGTCTACACTACAGGTCTATAACTGCATTTCTCAGGGGTCTGAAAAATTCACGCCAGAGCAATGCAGTTATACCAGTCTAATCCCCTGTGTAGACAACTCTATGTTGACAGAAGAGCTTCTCCCACCAACATAGCTACTGCCTCTCAGGGAGGTGGATTAACCATGCTGACAGGAGAAGCTCTCCCATCGGTACAGGAGCACCCATACAGCATTTTAAGTGTAGACTAGGGTGACCAGACAGCAAACGTGAAAAATCGGGATGGGGGTGGGGGTAATAGGAACCTATATAAGAAAAAGACCCAAAAATCGGGACTGTCCCTATAAAATCGGGATATCTGGTCATCCTAGTGTAGACCTGCCCTTAGATGGACAGACGAAGAAGGCTGTATCTTAGAGAGGTTATGCAGGTTATGTTTTCTACATGATCAAGAAACAGGGTAGCTGGGAGAATTTGAGGGGAAGATTAAGAGCTTTGTTTTAGATATGTTGAGTTTGAACTCACGGCTAGACATCTACGAGAAGATGTCAGAGACACGGGCTGCAATTTTAGTTTCAACACAAAGGCAGGTCTGAAGTAGAGAGGTACAGCTGAGTTTTCTACACAGAGGGGATAGCTGAATTTGTGTTTGCAGATGAGATTACCCAGAGATAAAATGGAGAGGGAGAAGAGAAAGGAACTCAGGACAGAACCATTTGGAACTTTCACAGAACGTTGAAGGGCGGATGAGGAGGATCCTTTAAAGGACATGCTGAGGAAGTGATTAAAGAGGTAGAAGGAGAACAGGCAAAGGACAGAAGCCATGGAATCCAAAGGAGGATGAGACTTCAAGAAGAGCATGGCTGACTGTGCTGAAGGCAGCTGACAGGTCAAGGAAAATGAGGAGAGTGTACTGGTTCTGAGCCTTAGCTAGTAAATGGTCATTAGAGACTCTGAGAAGAGCAGTTTCATTGGAGCCCAAGGGATGGAATCCAGATTGATGAACTCTATGGTGGAATTAGAGGAAAGAAACTCCAGACAACAATTTTACTTTTCCTCCTCTTAAGAACACGGTATGAAAACATCAGTGTTCTTCAAACACCCTGGGATTGATCCTAAACATAACTCAATTCTGATATTCGCTAGAATCAAATACTGCACATAGAGAAGATACAAATAAGCTTTTTGTGAAAGAAATAGAGGTATCCACACTTGTTCACCTACCTGGAACTTTTCTTTGCATGAAGCTACGTTAACATCTGTTCCCCAGATCACAAGCTTTTGTCCAAGAGATTGTTCACTTGCCAATGCATCCTCTGCTGGCTGTGGGAAGGGAAAAGCCATCAGTATGGATAATATAAATACATTTTAGAAAAAAAATTACCAGCAAAATCTGAAACATCTACCTACCCCATCAGAATGCAAGTCCACCTGTCTGGCTTTGCGGGCAGATCCAAGATCTGGCCTCTGCCTAACTGGAGTTCCTCGCACACCACTCCTTGGAGTACCCTCCACTCTAGAGCTGGGAGTGCCATAGGTCAGAGGTGAACTAATATCAAAATCAAGTGGAATTGCTACAAAGAAAATGTTTAATTATACTTCAAAATATTAATGAATACACTTTGCCCTAATGAAGTAAACAAGTTAGTGTTTGTCATCAGTCACTGTGATGGCAGGCTAGCAAAGTTTGTAAGTCTTGTTAATTTTATAGCTGTATTTTACAAGGCTGTACTAGCCATAGAATGTACTGTATGGATTAAAATTTATATTTCTCCAAGCAAGAAGGAACACAGTTTCCTAAAATAGTTTATTTTAAACACCAACAATATTTTAAAACACTGTCGAGCTTAACAACAAGCTCACACTAAGGCCTACTGGGTGTATGTTTTATGTGCTAAAATCAATTAAATTAAAAGCAAGCTACCAACTAACCTGTAATTGAAAACAATCCTGTTCATTCAAAAAGGCCCTTTTTTGTTTTTAAATTCACAGCTATGTAAAAGCCTACATTAAATCTTTCCATATAGGCCATTTAATAGCCAACAGTACACAGATATCAGCATTTTGCTCCTACTACTGACAAGCATACCTGATTCCCGAAACTGTGGTGGGCTGGAAAACAGAACATCTTGAGTATTTGGGCTTTGCATGTCAACTGCTGGAGAAGTTGGCATTGGCTGTAGATCTCCTGTAGATGTGGAGTCATCTGTTCGACGTTTTTGTGAAGGAGGAGACGGAGCATCTTCAGTGCGTGCTGCAAGAAGATGAAAGTAGCAATTTCAGATGTTAGCTGCAATGTTCTACACAGATTAATGTTAAAAGACCAAAACACAAAATAGATCATATGATAGAATAGCAAAAAACCTGGCTGATATAAAATTAAAAAGCAAAGTGCAATATTTTGCTGAAATGAAAATGAAGAATATTTGTGAGTTTCCAAAAGTGGAAAATAGCTTAAGACAATTTAAAATAATTAATACTGCAATTATCTTCCTAAATGCCTAAGAAATCAGAGCTGCTACTACTAGTGCTATGAAAACCTAGCTCATATAGCGCTTTTCATCAGTAGACTTCTTTGTAAAGTGCTTTGAGAGCAATATCATTATCCCTATTTTCCAGCTGGGGAAACTGAGGCACAGAGGAGGAAGCAACCTACATACCAATCAAAGCTTTTCAAGTGCGGTGATAAGTTTCATGCATCATATTTGTAACACTTGTAAACTTGCCTCTGTTTCATTTTTAAAAAGCACCCTGTTGCACTAATGCATTGTTGAAGACCAAGGCCAAGTCCATACAACAAAGTTTTGTCAACATAGCTATGCCAGTGATGGATGTGAAAAAACAGACCTAGCTGACACAGCCATGCCAGCAAAAACCCACTGTTGTAGCAACAGCTTTGTTAACAGAAGAGTGTCACTGAAATGGGAAAGACTGCCTCACAGTGAGCTGAGCTTACTACTGACATTACCTACGCTGATAGAAGCACTCTTCTTCCCTTATAGTGGTGATGGAAAAGCCTTTGCAGTGCACACAAGGCCTTACAGAAAAAACAAGTTTAGCCCAGAGACTAATAAAGTTAGTTTGCTTAAGTTGTCATGCTCCTCTGAAAAGAGTCTAAATCAATAATTTCTTCCTGCACGTTCAGATTATTAAATTCCTGCTTTAATGACAAAAAGCTACGTTTACTGTTCTTTTTAAGGCATTAGCCCTGCAGAGCAAACATAAGTGAGAGTGAGCTAGACTCCATCTGTTCTTGGGCATCAGCTTAGGCCTAGACTACACTTAAAACGTAAGTGGACCTAGTTACTCCAGTCAGGGATGTGAAAAAGCCACACTCCTAAGTGTAGCTAGGAAGACCCAACCCTGGGTGTAGATGCTGCTAGGTGGGCAGCTACTGTCACTTGGGGAGGTGGAGGTCCTACAACCCCAGAAAACCCCTAACTCTCTCAAAATACACACTGCTCATACCACTGTATAGTCTCCGCACTGTGAATATACCTTTACTAAGGACCAAACAGAGAGCGAGGGGTTACCCACGTCCCCCACCCAAGGCATTGCTTGGCCTGTCCATACCTTCCAGGCCGGACACTCATCTCCTAGTGGAGTTTCAGAGCTGCGGCCGCAGTCAGCGCCCCCCCGTCCCATCCCGACGCACCTGCACCCACACCCGGCAGGGAAAAGCTGCACTTACGAGTCGGGGGGTTGCTGCTCCGCCCGCGCTTGCTGCCGCGGCGGCTCGGTGTGGAAGCCGGCGAGGACATGACGCTGCTTCACCGGCTGCTGCTGCTCCCTGCGCGGGTGGAGAGAGAAACTGAGGCGGAGCAGAGCGACCCCCTCCCGGCCCAAAACCCGCACCGAGCCCCCTCTCCCACGAGCCCGCCGGCCCCGCGCCCCGCACCGGGAGCAGACAGCCCTGCTCCGAGCCGGGCCCCGAGACCAACAAGTTACTGGGAATTAACGGCACGACACGGAGTCGCCGCACCGCCCCCTTCAGCGCCGCGAGCCCGCCCCAGAGGGACGCACCCGCCACTCGAGCCCCTTCGCGCGCAGATATTGGGGGGGGGCGGCAGCGTCTCGCGCTCTTACCCCACTTTTCTTCTGCAAGCACCTTCGGCCAGCCCGGGAACCCCGAGAAAATTGCGCGCCAAACGGGTCACGTGGGCGGGCTCTCCCGGGTTTTCCTACCAATAGCCGTACGGCAGAGCCCAACTCGGCCCAGACAGGGGGACGGAACCACCCATCTGGGTTCCGGGTACAGACGATCGCGCCCTAGGGGCTCTGTGAGCCTCTCTGCAGGGACAGAGCGAAGTGTGACAGGAGCCCGATTCTCCCACAACACAGGGAATTCACCCACGGAGAGCCTACAACAGATTCATAGGCAGGGTTCCCCCTGGTGAGACATGGTCTCGCCCATACTTGACCCGGTTTCGCGGCCCAGCCATTGAAAACAGCTCGATGCTGGTTGGGAGACTAGGACGGTCCATTGCCATCGCGGGGGGAGCTTGTACTAATAGCTATCGGATTTACACGAAACGGAGTTTTATATCTGCGGAAGCGTTCCTGTGTCTCGGACCGGAGGCAGGGCGACAGACACCCCCGCAGCCGCAATGGTTTAGTCCAACCTCTCCTTTTCTCTTCCTTTCTCAGACCGAACCAATCAGGCTCCCTCCCGTGCGGGGCCGGGTTACTTGGCTCTGCCAGGGCAAGTGCACTCACCCAGGCGCATGCGTCTGTGCGATTGGTTCCCCGCAACGAAACTCCGATCTGGAGAAGGTCTTGTCTTGTCCGTTGTGCCCGGCGCCGCGGGCGGTATGGCTGCGGCTCTGCCCGTGGGCGGCGGCGGCGGCATTCAGGGCTCCCTGCACCAGCTCTCCTGCGCGCTGCAGGACCCGGACCCCGGCACTGCCGCCCTGCACGGCTACCACCTCATCCGCAGCGTGGGGGAGACGTGCGTGACCAGCACCGGGGACGGCGCCCGCGGTGCGTGTGACCTGGGCGGCGGTAACGAGGGGCCCTGGGCATGTTGGGGCGGAGCGCGCTCAGCCCATGCCTGGGAAGGGCTGTTAGGCGCCCGGCCGGCGGGATCAGGGGACCCCCCCCGGCTGACCCCCTTGGGGAAGGGGGGGGTCATGGCAGTGAGCCCCACTCGGTCCTTGGTCACTGTGCCCGTGGCTGGCGTGGCCTGTGTCCGTCCTAACGCAGCAGGACCCTGCAGAGGGGTTTTGGGCTGCCCATGTGGACCGGAGAAGTGGGTCCCGGCGGCCTGTGCATGGGGACAGGGAACCCTGCGAAATGCTCTCCAGAGCGCCAGCGGCCCCAAACCTGCCCCTTCGCTCTCAGTAGCCCAAGGGGAGCCTTGCCTGGGGGAGCTTCCTGTGTTAAACCTGGAGAGACTAGGTGGGTGAGGGGGTGATACTTTTTGTAGGGGAGAGAGACAAGCTTTTTGGTCCTGACTGCACGGTGCTGCACACTCTGCATCCAGCTGCTCTGCCAGCATCAGCTCACTGATGTGAGGGACACAGAATGGGAGCGAGCTGCTGCGCTTCGGGTACCAGGAACTCTCCCATCACCAGGCCAGTTGGTGAGGGTTTTGGGTTACCGTGCCCTCTTTGGAGCCAGCTGAGCAGGTTCACGTGTGGTGCGGTTTGCTGTGCCAAGGCTGACCATGCCGGGGGCATCCATTGCAGTCCACTGTGCATTTGGTACTGTGGCGCATACTGCACGCATGCTTGCTGGATGGTTCCTCTTGAGCTCGCCAGTCTTTGCAAACTGAACACGGACCAACTCTAGCCCAGATTGCCCTATCCTCTTGAACCTTAAGCCTACCCTCTTAAGCCCAGGAAGCCCAACCTAGTTGAACCCTAAACTGGGATACCCAACCCTATTGAACACTAACCCTTGCATGGGGAGCCCTTGAAGCCCCAGCCCTAACCCTATCCTTAGGGCTTAAATTCAGCCAGAGCTGTTCAGAGCAGAGCTCCGGTAAGTATTTTCAAACCCATGGGGCAGAAGCCCTGAGCCCTGGTGCCTCACGTGTGGCAGAAGCCCCGGGGTGTCGGGAGATACTCTGTGAGAATTTAAGTCCTGCCTACCCTGGTGAGCCCTAGCCTAACTGTAGACGTGGTAGCTATACTCTTTTGAAATGTAACTCTGTTCAGGGAAGCCCTAGCTTATTTAACTGTTGCCCCAGGAGACATTCCATTTTTATCTTTAACCCTAGCTCATGGAGCCCTAACCTAGTTAACCCTAACCCAAGGAGTCCTACCCTACTTGAACCCTAACTCTGGACCATCGAGTGTTAGCAGCCCCAGTCATTTACTACCCTACAGAGCCCATCCCTATTAGACCCTAACCCTAGCCTGGGAAGCCCCTGCAGCTTGAGATGTATCTCTACACTAGGGATCCCTAGCCTATTAAACCCTGTCTCTGCCCTGTGGGTCCCTAGCCTATTGAAGCTGAACCCTACCCTGCAGCTCCACTCCTATCCCTACTCTATTGAATCCTTACCTTAGCCTAAAGAGCCCTTCCCTATTGAAACCTAACAATGTCTTAGGTATTTCTAGTCTTTGATCCCTGAGCCTAGCCCAGGGAGCTGTGCTCTACTGAACACTAACCCCAGCCCCTCTAGCCCTAGCCTGTTGAACCCTAACCCTCTCAGGGGGTGCTCTACTCTATTGAACCCTCACCTTAGGCCAGGAAGCTGTAACACAATGAACCTTAACCCTGGGAGCTCTAGCCTACTGAACCCTAACTCTAGCCCAGGAGCTTTTGCAGCTGAATCCGGCCCGCAGGCCCTAGTTTGCCCACCCCTGCTATAGAGGAAACCTTCCAGAAGTGAGCCAAGTGTAATCCAAGAAGTGATGTCTGCCTAAGTATGCAGACAGCTTGAAACTGACTCAAAGGGATGAACACCATTCATCTGCTTGGAATATCAACTTTAAACTGAAAACTGATTGTTTCAGACGAGGGAAATGCGGTAGACCTAATCTATCTAGGCTTCAGTAAAGGATTGGACATGATACAACATGGGGAATTATTAGTGAAGTTGGAGAAAATGGTGATTAGTACAGGAACTGTAAAATGCATAAGGAGTGGCTAAAGGAGAAACAGCAGCTTGTTCTGTTGAAAGGAGAACTATGGGCTGGAGGGAGATTACTAGTGGTGTTCCTCAAGGGTCTGTCTTGGGACTGATTTTATTTAATATTTTCATTAATGACCATGGCACAAAAAGTACACCTCTACCCCAATATAACGCTGTCCTCGGGAGCCAAAAAATCGTACCGTGTTATAGGTGAAACCGCGTTATATCAAAATTGCTTTGATCCGCTGGAGTGCGCAGCCCCACCCCTCTGGAGCACTGCTTTACCGCATTCTATCCGAATTCGTGTTATATCAGGGTAGAGGTGTAGTAGTGTACAAATGAAATTTGCTGATGACACAAAGTCAGGAGGCATTGTCGATACAGAGGAGGATTGGAATATTATACAAGAAGAATGGGATAGCCTGGAGGACTGGAATTTTTTCTCTAACTTGGCGGCTCATCAGTTGGAAATGACAGAGAAGGAGGAGAGAGAGCTGGGTGTGTAAGTTGATCACAGGATGACTAATGTAATATGGCTGTGAAAAAGGCTATTGGGATCCTGAGATATAGCAGGTGAGGCATTTCCAGCAGAGCTGGAGAAGTATTAATACCATCAAACAAGGCACTATAAGACCTCATCTGGAATATCATGTACAATTCTGGTCACCCACATTCAGTGAAGATGAATTTAAACTGGAACAGGTACAGAGATGAGCTACTAGTTGGGTTAGGTAAATGGAGAGCCTGTTTTAGGAGAGGAGACAAACAAGCCAAGCTCTCTAAGCCTAGCAAAACAAAGCATAAGTGGGAATTTGCTTGCTCTCCACAAATAACAGTGGGTAGAGGTTAACACAGGGGTGGGAGAAGAGCTACCTAAGCTAAAGGACAGTGTTTGCATAAAAACAACGAATGGGGATACACTGGCTATGAATAAGTTTAGGCTGGAAGTTAGAAGACGGTTTCTAACCATTAGAGGAGTAAGGTTCTGGAATAGCCTACCAATAAGAACGGCGAGAGCAAACAAGCTAACTAGTTTAAGATGGAGCTTGCTATGTTTGTGAATGTGATTATATGAAGGGGTTGCCTGCAAAAAGCAGATGACTGGATTCGATGATCCCGGAGGTCCCTTGTAGTCCTGTGTGCTATGTTCCTGCGTTTAAAGTTCAGCGGTGACACTCCAGTGGAGCCTGATTCTTCACTGTTTTGCACCTTGTGTAGTCATTTACATTGGTGCAAAATGAGTATAGAATGCTGCCATTCTGAGTTCATAACATTTCATCCTTCACTTTGTACTTTCTTTGCACAGGTGTAAATGAATACACCAGGTGTAAAGCAGTGGGAATCAGGGCAGTGGTTCCTGACATTTTCCATTCAACTGTGAGCATGCTGCCACTGTCTGCAGCTGCGTTCCCTACAGCATGACTTTGGTCTGGAGCAGTGGAATAAAAGGCAGGCAGCATCAGTGTGCTAGGGACCAGAAAAGTGCCTTATCATTAAGACAGGGATTAGGAGCATAGATCACAAAAGTATCAGATCTGTTACATATAACTTGTGTTGAGACTCATTTAAAAAGGCAAACTCCTGTCACTCTTACATTGTGGAATACCATATGTGGCAGTTTGGGTTCACTGACAGTACCCATGGAGAAAAGTACTACTCATGAGTCAGGAAGGCAGAATCTGGTCCTAAAATTGTGCCCCAACTGCCGCATCTACAACTGGCAGTGTCGCTGCAGGTGTTGGAAACTTATAGCTTCACTTCCTCTGCTGTGTATTCATGCTTCTCAGTTCACTCTACTCTTAACTGAGGATCATATTTGTTATCTCCTGAACTGTTAAGAGGAAGTTTTAAGCAGTCTGATTTATCTAATTGCTGTTTTTTTTTTTTAAATAACAGCTGTTAGGTTTAGAAATGAAATTAATTAGTTGTTTGCAGTATTGTTGTAGTCATGTTGATCCCAGAATATTAGAGACAGAAAGTGGGTGAGGTAATAGCTTTTATTGGACCAAATTCTGTTGGTGCAAGAGACAAACTTTTGAACTACATGAAGTTCTTCAAGAAATTTATTAGTGGCAGGTGTATTTAGAAGAAATGAAAGTAAATACTATTTCATGCAGCATGTAGTTATTGTGTGGAGTTCACTGCCACAAGGGACTATGGGATTAAATTCTGTATTTGGATTTTTAAAAGAGCAGAATAATTTTAGGATTAATAACACTTGACTGTGGAAGAGGTTTAATGTTTTTCTGAAGCATTGGGTGTTGTCCACCATTAGAAGTGGGATAGTGGACTTTGCTAGACCATCGGTCTGATCTGGCATGTAAAATACTATGTTCCTGTCCAGACTCCTCATAGTTTTACTAGATGAAAATCAAGACTTGTTGACACGACCTTTTTGGTTCTGTCTACTCTGGTATTTGAAATCATGTTAGCATCTTTTTGGCAAGAAGTTTATTTAAACATATCTCCGGATAGGATCTAACATGGCTTCAAATGTTAATATAGATAATGTCTTAGTCCAGGATGACTACTCCTCATACTCATTGATTAAAACATAATTGACAGGTTGCCCTTTGGGTTCATTGCAGACCTGATGTTACTGTACTGGTTCTGGCCCCAGGATTGGGAGGTACAAAGGTGGTGTAAAGCCACCTTTTTCTCATCCCTGGTTCTGTGCCAAGCAGAGTTGGACTGAACCTGAGCTTTGAGCATATGTGAGGTGAACATTTTACAAACAGAATTTAGGGTTTAATCCTGCAGCCCTAATTCATGTGACTGGCCTTTTTGGCTTCAGTGGGAATATTTTTGTGAGTAAGGACTGCAAAATCATGTCCTTATTTAGCCCTGAAAATAATTAGTTTCATTTTGGTACAAGGACATTCTGAATAATGCCCAATATTATCTAAATAATCAGGTTCTAGGAATCACTTGTTTGGAAATAGAGTATAAATAACAAAGCAAATAGTTTGATGCTTCTTTTTGCTCTTCCTACAGCATTGCAAACTTCACTGGTGTTTTCCAAAGATAATGGATTACTTGTGTTTGTCCGCAAATCTCTCAGCATGGAGGAAGTGAGTTGAAAAACTTAGTTATGATTCTTTTTTTAAAAGAACTGTTGCAATATTTTTCATTGCTAAGTGAGAGTATACAGGCTTTCATTTCTAAAAAGGAACTCCGTTTTTTCAGTTTCGAGAGTGCAGGGAAGAAGCTTTAAAATTTCTCTGTGCCTTTCTGGAAAAGATTGGTCAGCAAGTTCATCCTTATGCCCATGATATTAAGGTAAGTGAAGGAAAACTTATTTTTAAAAATCTCTGTCAAATACTTTTAACAGTTCTGCAGTGTTTTTAATTTAAACATGAACACTTGAAAGATGTATTAAAATATGACTAATACCAGGTTCACGGCTTTCCTTTATGCAATTCATCCCCCCCGCCCAATGTTTCTAATAGAGCTAAAACAGAGGAGCAATTTTGGATTACATATTAATGCACTGGTGTCGTTAAAAATGTTAGTATACTTTGGTCATATTTGTTCAAGTATCTTGGAGCCAGCATGGTTAGAATATATTTTTCTCTCTCTCAAAAAATGGTAGTTGCTGGGTTTGGGTTTTTTGGTTTTTTTTTTGTAATGTTCTACCTGTGAAATATTTGATTTAAAATAATACAATATTTTGAATCCTTCTGCTCCAGTTTGTAACCTTTGAAGTGACTTTTTTAAGGCCTGTTTTTTTCAGAGGAGTTGAGTACCTGTAGTACTTTGAAGTCAGTGGGTACTGTGGGTGCTCATCATTTCTGAAAATGTGTCCCTTAGGGTATGTCTACACTGCAGTTAAAAACCCATGGCTGGTCCATGCTAGCTGACTTGGGCTTGTGGGGCTCAGACTAAGGGCTGTTTAATAGCGGTGTAGATATTCAGTCTCTGGCTATAGCCCAGACTTTAGGACGCTGTGAGGTGGAAGGGTCCCAGGGCTTGGGCTGCAGCCCAAGCCAGAATGGCTACACCACAATTAAACAGCACCTTAGCCTGAGCCCCGCAAGCCCAAGTCAACTGGCACAGGGCAGCTGTGGATGTCTAATTGCAGTGTAAACTACCCGAAGAGTCTAAACTACTCAGTAGTATCCATTCAACTGCAGATGTTTGTGCCATTGTACTTTCTGAGCTCGTGGTAATAGCCTCCTGGAAAGGTGACTAGTGACAGATGATTTGCTACATGGGATCCTTTTACTCTAGAATTTGCTTCCGTCTAGGTTTACCAAAACTTGGATTTGCTAATTTTTAGGACACACTGCAAAACTAATCTTTTCTTTTGGGTTTGGTTGAGGGATATGGGGTAGTCATGTGATGGGTTGGTATTGCTATTTTCTGGGTGAATATTTATTCTAGTCTGCATTGGCTTTGTATGAGAAGCTGTGTATTTTTATTCTTGGGTTTTGTACATTTTAAATGTTGTAAAATACCTAAAATCACTGGGGAAAGGTATTTTAAAGAAATATTTTAAATTATTTAAATATTTTTAAATCTTCCATCCTGTTAATGATCATTATGATCTATTTTTTCCCAACCTAGCAAACTTGTATTAGCGTTTACACAAAAGAAAAGGCTGCAAAATGTAAAATCCCAGCTCTGGAGCTTCTCATTAAGGTAAAACATACTTTACAGTTCATTATTTCTAAGCCTAGAGACTTTTGAGTTATGCCATGGCTGCTGTTGAATGCAGCAAACTCAAAAAGTTCTGTAGGAGGAGTATTAAAAAAATATTTTTCTGCCCACAAGTTAGTCCTAATCTCCTTTGACTGAATTGCTTAATTAAAGGTGCCATCCCTTAATTTGTGTTGGAAGACATCTTGGATTTTGAGGGCGATCACAGAGTGCATCTTTATTCCCAATTCAATTGCTGTTCTTTAAAGCAACACGGTCAACTTAAAAATCACACTTCTGTTTGAAAATATTAATTTGTTACAGATAACAACTAAGATAATACAACTGAAAGATATTTGAGGCGCAAACTTGTTTTTATATATATATATATATATATATATATAATTTTAGTTTCCTTAGTGCATATGATAATTTTTACTGTTTTCCCTGTATAGTGCATTTTGCCCTGATCCTGCAAACATTTATGCATGTGCTTAACTTTACATATGGCAGTAGTCCTTTTGAAGTTAATTCTTCTGTGGTTTGAGTGGGCCTTACAGAGAGAAACATTTTAAAACTAGGTAAACATGCTTATGAAACTGCAGACATTAACAGGTGTCATATCCTAAAACTAATTATAACTCATTTTTTAAACTGATTACATTTTAAATTGATGGTGCCCCTTTGACCTAAAATTACAGCCAAAATATGTGCAAGGAACATAGGAAGTAGAAAAATAGGTGTGAACGACATATACAATGGGATGAGCACATGATTTGCATGAGGAAAACACAACAAAACCAATATTTATTGTATAGAAATGGTAGCTTGTCTTTACCTACATCTTATACGATCAGAAGACGTATCAACCACCTTTAACTTAATCTGCTAAACCAGTGGGATTACTTGTGCTTAAAGTTAGGTGTGTACCTAAGTATCTTTCTGATTTAGGGGCCTTATTTACCTGGGTCCAAGTGGAAACAAATAAAATAGTTTTTTCCTCATTTGCGGGTATCTTGTATATATTTCCAGTTGCTTCAAAATTTACGATCTTCCTTTCTGATGGAAGAATTGAAAGTTGGAGACATCTTTAACAAATTTTATGGGGAACTTGCTGCAAGAAGTAAAGTGCCTGACACAGGTGAGCCTTAGCTTTTCTAGAAACAGTATTACTTATTTTATTTACTATCTTTTAGTATAATAGAACCTCAGAGTTATGACCACTAGAGTTACAAACTGACTGGTCAACCACCCATGTCATTTGGAACCGGAAGTACACAATCAGGCAGCAGTAGAGACCACCCCCAAAGCAAATACTGTACAGTACTGGATTAAACGTAAACTATTAAAAAAAAAAAGGGATAGTTTTTAAAAAAAAGATTTGACATGGTAAGGAAACTAAGGAAACAGTTTCTTTGCTTGTTTCATTTAAATTCAGATGGTTAAGAGCAGAAATTTTCTTCTGCATAGTAGAGTTTCAAAGCTGTATTAAGTCAACGTTCAGTTGTAAACTTTTGAAAGATCAGCCATAATGTTTTGTTCAGAGTTACAACCAACCTCCATTCCCAAGGTGTTCATAACTCTAAGGTTCTACTGTATTAATATCTTGATGGATTTTTTCCGACAGTAATGTGGGTAAGACGGGAGAAGCTAGGACTTGATTTAAAATAAAAACAAAACTTCAAAAATAGTCTTTAATGAATAAACATAAGTTTCATACTAGTAGTAAGACTGCTCGGTTGGGAGTTGTCAAATGCATTTATACATAATTTCCCATTAGTGAATAGGGAAATCATGAAATGTTACTATCTAGTATACTGGCTCTAAATACTAGTCAGCTGTCCATATGCTTTTGTAAGACCGATAAAACAATATCATCATCATCCTCTCTAGAATAAGTAAGTGTCCTCAGAAATATTGACTGTTACATATGGTAGAGCTAGGTAGGGGTTTTCTGCTCTGCCTTTGTATGGTCCAGCGCCATGTTAGTAACATTCCATTTACATCAGTGAGGTTGTGCCCACACAGAGCTCATGACAGGAGTCTTAGGCTGTATTTATATTAATGTTGCATTGTTTTTAAACTTTCATTGCTGCACTCAACTCCTTGATTAGGGACTTAGAATGTCAAGGTGCTGAGCACCCTGTTTTCTCAAATCCCATTGATTTCAGTCTGAGTTGAGGGTGTGTGGCCCCTCACAGGATTGAGCCCTATAATTCAGTATTTAAAACTAGTAGTTTGAATAACTTGAATAAATTAATCTTCACTATATGAGCTGGTGATTAATTTCAAATCCAAGCATGGAAGAACATGTATGTATGAAAGCATTGTTATACTCTTTCATTTGCCAGTCATCATGCCAAGATATCACTAGCCTTAACTGCCCAGATAGGTGGGTGGACAGACACACTGACTTTATAATAATGGTGTCTAACTACTGTATCATATGTCACAGAGATCTCAAAGTAAGTGATGTATATATTGATATTTTTTAGTACTGGAAAAATTATATGAGCTCCTTGGAGTCTTGGGAGAAGTCCAACCTAGTGACATGGTTGACAACTCTGAGAAATTATTCCGAGCTTTCTTGGGTGAGCTCAAAACACAGGTATGATTGGAACCTCTTGTAGGCCTCTGTCAATCACTTTTCTTTGGTGGGTGTTGTGTGTATTGAATTACCATTCATGCCAAGATTGTTGGATACTTCATTTAACCAGATAATTATAAAACATAGTTTGAACAATTTTATTGGTAATAGCAGTTGAGTGTTGTTTTCTCTGGTTACAGGGTGTTGGGTAGATTACTGGTGGCAGGGAGACCTAGTGGCCATTAGCTGAGTAATGTGGGGAGGGGAGAGGGAAGAGCATGATCATCATCAGCCTTAGTGCCCTGCGTAGCGGATGTGATTTCCATTAGAGGCCAGTTTCTTATTTGGACTAGTAAGTTGCAGAACTTCATTGCACTGTTTGGTTCAGAAAGTTGGCATCACAGCTATGCCTTACCAAGGTCCTCACTTGTTTGTTTCTATCTTACTCTTCTAATTTAAGCATGATATTTTCTTTAAAACTTTTATTTTCAGATGACCTCAGCAACAAGAGAGCCCAAACTACCAGTAGTAGCAGGGTGTCTGAAAGGACTGACTGCGCTTATGTATAACTTTACTAAATCCATGGATGAAGGTGCAGTCTTTTTTTTTTTTTTAATATATATAAAGAAATTTTGACTGTTTTACACCCGATAGGGAGCATCTGTTCATCTGGTCTCAAGATTCACTCTTTTATAGATAAAAATGGATGCAAGCAGTTGTGCATTCTGAGTGAAATTCCCCCCATTGGCAGAAGGCCTGCTCATGCAAGGCCCTTCATGCCCAAGCACCCCTGGGGTGCCCCGGTACGTAGGAGAGTGTGGTCAGAGTGGTTGCATAGAGTGGGAAGTTGAAGTGCTATTTATCCAGGAGGAACTGGGCAGCTGTACAACCGCAAGTGAAAGTTTGAACATTCTTATTCATAATTATATACAGACACATTTACACTAGCATACCCATGTTGTTCAAAGAGTGGTTTTTCAGCAAGTCAAACAGAGAAGTATATTTAAAACAAAAATATTAGAAGCATCCTCTGGGAGAGTTTCCCTTCCTTTAAGAGTATGATATTTTGAAAACCGTTAAATATTGTCTCTTCACGTCCATAACAAGATAAAATTATCTTGCCGTTTTGACTCTCTGAGGTGCCCTTAGTGAAATGTTTCATTATTGTTGTTATCCTACAGATCCCCACACTTCAAAGGAGATTTTTGATTTTGCAGTGAAGGCAATCAATCCACAGGTAGAATGTTTGAGTATCTTCCAAGTGTGCATTCTTCTACATATATTATTTCTGAAGAGCAAGTCATTTATGGTGAACCTTTTGTTTTTACAGGTTGACCTAAAGCGATATGCAGTACCTTTAGGTAAGATTTTATTTTATAACTGTATGCAGTGCTATAGATACCAAGCATATCTTGGATGAGACATGTTTCATCCTCTGATTATTTCCTTCAAAGAATACAGCATAGTCTGCATTCTAGGCGAGAAGAGTGGAGTGAGAGAGTGTGCCTTTGTGATCTAAGGAGTTGAAAATGGAGTAGTTGGCTGAACAAAGCAAATTCTAATACTCAGCACCAACACTGCATCCAACACTTAACTTAATGGCATTTCTCTTTCTGTAATGTGACAACTTTTGAATGCCATATCCAATGTGTTTCAAAATTTCAGGGAATGTTCTAGGCATCTGTGCATACCCAGGATAAAATCCAGATTAATGAGTAGCTATGTCATGCCTGCCCTCTAACCTGGGGTGTCCTTTACTGCTTTGCTGGTGTAGCCTCCTGTTTGGATTGTTCACAAACAGCCTCCAGATAACCTGCCACCCCAAATGGAATTTTCCCAGACACTTCAATTAAAACACACTGGATTAGATCAAACTGGGGGTCAGGACCCGCCAGGGAGTTGTGAGGTTATTACATGGGGGGTCACGAGCTGTCAGCCTCCACCCCAAATTCCGCTTTGCCTCCAGCATTTTTAATGGTGTTAAATATATAAAAAAGCCTTTTTAATTTATAATGGGGGGGGGTCGCACTCAGAGGCTTGCTATGTGAAATGGGTCACCAGTAAAAAAGTTTGAGAGCCACTGGATTAAACAATAAAACAAGTTCATGAACTACAGAGAGATTTAAAGTGAGGGACAAGTAATGAGGTGTAAAATCAGAAATGGTTACAAGAAGATAAAATTAAAACACTACAGATGCCTAACTTAACAAACGGTATCAGATTCAAGCAAGGTTTCTCTCACCGCACACTCTCAACAGTCTTATTGACCAAAGTTAGTCTCCAGTTCAGTGGCTGCTTCCTTTGTTCCTTTTGGTATAGTGAATTGATGAACAGAGAGAGAAGGAGTGCCTTGGGCTGTCTGTCCCTCATTTTTATAGTATCCGTCGTCCTCTTGAAGAACATTTTCACCTGAGATTCAGGGGATAGAGAGTCTGTGTAGGAAAAGCTGTTCACTGCTGCCTTTCCTCACTTGTCTGAGGTTTCTTTGTCTGCCCTTCCTGCTTGATGATTCTGTTTACTGCTTAAATGCAAATGAAGGAGAGCACACATTCCTTTGTTTGGCTCAGACCTGTTTTCCAACTTCTGCTGTGGTTTGGAATGTGTGTTAATACCATTAACAGAGACAATGCAACACATTTTATCAGGACACTATTGACCAGCAAATCGAGTTTTCAGATGATACCTCAGAAGACATACTTTGTACAAAGATTATTATGATAGTGTGTAAGGTGTGGACACAGAATGTACATTTTTTGGGGGAAAGTCTAGGACTGGGGGTGTGTTGGGGTCACCCTGCAGTATAACCCAGGCTGGTAAGTGAGTTGCATGCTGGAGGCTGTTTGTCAGCAGTCCAGACTGGAGGCTACAGCAACAAAGCAGTGTAAAGGATACCCCAGGTTAGAGGGCCGGGGTGACACAGTTACTCATTAGGCTGGATTGTACCCTAGGTATGGCACAGCATCTGTGGGCAGAACTCTATTGATTTTGGTGAAAATCAGAAAAACTGAAAGGGGAAAATGGGGAACAGATAGCGTCCAAGCAACAGGTTAGCTAAGCCTTCCATATAACAATATTCTCAGCTCAGCTCTGCCCATCCCCCCAATACAGTTCAAAATGCTGCGGAGACTGGGGCAGTGGGGGGCACACAGAGCCCCTGGCATGGGAAAAAATGGGAAATGAGGAGCAGATAGAGCCCCTGGCATGGGGGGGTGTATGGAAGTGGGTTATGCAGAGCCCCTGCCCTGGTGGAGAAAGGGAGGAAGTGGGGAATTGAGGGATGTCACAGAATTCCCAATGTATGGGGGAGAATGGGAGGTCTCCCATCCTCTGGCATGGATGGCATGGGGGAAGAATGGGATATCCTGGTATGGGGGAAAAGGAAGAGCATGGGGAGCAAAGAAAGGAATGGGGGGCACACAGAATTCTGGGCAGGGAGAGAACAGGGGACCAAGGTATGGGGGGGAATATGGGGCCCCTGGCCTGGGGGAGATTGAGTGAAACTAGTATGGAGTGAAGGGAGGAGGTGGGGAGGTTTGCAGAGTCTCTGAAATAGAGGGGGATGGAAGGTAGCATACAGGCAACTGTGAGGGAGAATCGAGGGATCTAGAGAACCTTTGGGAAGCAAAAAGTGTGTGACCCTCTAGTAAAGGTGGTGTAGGTTGACTAGATCATGGGTTCTCCGTCTGAGGGCTGCGACTCCTCACTGGGGGTTTGTGACCATCCTGTATTTCCTATGTTGCTAAATGTGAGGTGGTTGGTGGGGAGGCACAGAGGTGGCATTGTTCTTGCCTACATCCCAGCTAAATGGAAGAGGGACCTCTGGCATGGAAAAGACTGAGACTCACTGGCCTAGATGAAGTAAAGTTCTCATTCATAATATCTGGAGCCCCTTCTACCACTAACAGTAAAATACAAACCACTGAAAGGGACTGCTGCTTCCCATAGCTGTATCTATACTAGGATAAAAGCAGGAAGGTTGTTTTCAGTTGTGAGCTCATATGTAGAGTTAAACAAATGTGTGAATATAGATGTTTTAATAATCAGAAATACAATTTAGTCAGAAGATATCTGAGACTTCCTGTTGCTCTAATGTAAACTTCTAGAGCAGGGGTTCTCAGACTTTTGTACTGGTGACCCCTTTCACATACCAAGCCTCTGAGTGCGACACCCTCCCCCCCATTTTAAAAACACTTGTTTATATATTTAACACCATTATAAATGCTGGACAAAGCAGGGTTTGGGGTGGAGGCTGACAGCTTGCAACCCTCCATGTAATAACCTCGCGACCCCCTGAGGGGTCCTGACCCCCAGTTTGAAAACCCCTGTTCTAGAGCATGGTCAGTTGTCAGAAACTGGAACACAAATCTGAGTTTTACTGATAATCGTGGTTTTGAATTACAGCTGGCTTACAGTTGTTCAGCATGCATGCTGCTCAGTTTGGCACCTTCCTTCTGGACAACTATATCTCACTCTTTGAAGTACTGTCCAAGTGGTGTGGCCATACAAATGCAGAGCTGAAGAAAGGCGGTCATTCAGCCCTAGATTCGTTCCTTAGACAGGTACTGCTAACTTATATAAGAACTCCAAGACTTTATCAAGGAGTTAGATTTCTCAAAACACTAGTAGAGTGTGGGGCTGTTCATATATATATATTCATGCACAATGGTCCTACATAAATAATAATCTCTTATCTGATAAGGTGGTATAGATTTTCTTAAGGTTGTCTTTTACTTTAATTTCACTTTGGTTATTTTCTAGTTTCTGGAAATCCATAATTGACTGTTTGTGTAAATCTGCAGATTTCTCTAATGGTGGCTAAAGATGCAGAAATGCACAAGAGCAAGCTGCGGTTCTTCATGGAGAAGTTCTATGATATCATCAGAAAAATGGATTCGAGCAATAAGGAGTTGTCCATTGCTATTCGTGGATATGGGCTTTTTGCTGCGGTATGGCAAGCTTACTCTGACAAAACAGTGTATTGGATGGGTTTTATGTTACAATTAGGAAGCCATTCATCTTACATGTTCGTTTTGATTGGCAGAGTCTGTTATGAAGGGAATGCCTCCCCCCAGCCCCAGTTGTTTCTGAGTTAAGTTTTATAAAAGAAATCAACAGTATAGTCAGATTGCATTTTGACTTAAAGTAATCACGAAAGGCTCAGTGAACTCCCACTGAATTCACTTGGAAGTCTTGCAGGATCGGGCTCTAGAGCATTATAGTTTTTCTCCTTAATACGTGACTTTAGAAATTAGAAACACCGTTTCCACTGTCAGAATTTTGGCCACATTAATTCAATTTAGGCTTATCTTGTTCTGCTTGGCTATGAAATCTACAGCCTTGGCAACTATTAAAAGTTGGAGTTGTTGCATCTGTGGGCTGAAAATAAAACCTTTTTGCCACTATATAATTCTCCTTTTTCCTTCCTCTCTCTTAACTGGGAGTGTTGGACAGGGTTTACTCTGGAGTCTCAACAGTGCTTCTCCTGATTGGCCAGTGGGGTTGCTATGAGTAACATATTGCTACCATCTTCCCCCGTGGAGCTAAGAGCCACTGAAATTCTTAGCTTCTCAGGTTGGGTTGGAAAAGTATTGTAACTGAAAGCTCAAGATCAGATTATTAATACAGTTGCAATAAATTATAAAACAAGGTCACTTTGTTTACTAGCACTTACCTATTGAACAACATGAAAAAAATTATTCAAATGTATTATCAGGTTCCTGTAAAGTTTCAAAAAATAGTTTTTATCTGAACCCAGCTGTGGTTTTTTTTTTTTTTTTTAGTATTGCAGCATTCTTGTTTGTTAATACTAATTACTGAAGTGATACTTTACTTTCTCTCATTAAAGCCTTGTAAAGCTATAAATTCTAAGGATGTTGACTTCATGTACGTTGAGCTCCTTCAGCGCTGTAAGCAAATGTATCTCACTGAGGCGGAGACAGCAGATGAACATGTGTATCAGCTACCCAGTTTCCTTCAGTCCATTGCAAGTGTTATATTCCACATAGATACAGTAAGTGGAATATTTAAAACATCAGTCAGTTATTTTGTACCTTTAGAGCATAAGGATGCATTGAACTACAATAGATACTATGGCAATTGGTGCATTGTAGGACAAGCCCAGTAATCAGGAGTGAAATTAAAAAAAAAAAAAAAAGTCTCTGGATTAGGTCACTTGTGTTGAAATGGCAGGCATGGTGATGTTTGTTGTAAAGGGACATAATCAACTTAATAGCCACACTTCTACATTTCTTTTGAAACTAAGGTTAACACACAGACTAGGTAAACACACAGACTAGGTAAAACAATAAATAACCTTTATTGTTTAACTAAGGTTATTTTGTCTGGGTTTTTTTTCAGTTTGTTTTTGTGCACAAAACAGCACTTTATATACAGTCAATTTCACCTTTTCCCCTATATACCCAATCACTTTCATGTTTCAATCCGTCTTTCACACAACAATGGAAAGAGAAATGTTTCTCCAGTAGTACAGCACAGCTTTGTATCAGCTGTGTTTGTATCAGCCTACTGTCTTTATCTGCTCCCAGATTTATAAGTCTGATACTTAAAGTGCCACACTGAGAAGGGTAAATGAGTCTACATGGACTCCTTTGTGTTTCTGGAGTGTGTGTTTTGAATGAGGACTTCCTGATCATTCGCCATAAGTTGGGAGTAAGATGAGCTGTACTTGAATGCCCTGGTTTCAGATGCATAAAAACTGATTAGGCTTCTGGTTTGTGGTTGCTTTTGTGTGAATGAAGCTCTCATAATAATAAGAAATTAGTATGATTGTTTCTGCTAACACTTGCTTTCACTCAGAAACTGCCTTTCTGTTCCCTGGGACATAATGTGGCCCCAGGAAGCTTTCACTAACTCCTGTCTGTCTTGATGTTTTAAACTCTGTCCACATAGAGTGGCTCGCTAAGTCTTTCTTTTACCAGTAGATAAAAGATAGTAGATAATTTTGTAACGTTTCTCTCCTTTTACCTTTTGTTGGGAATTGCCTCTTATTTGGGAAGATTTGCATAATTTCCTGAGTGTTAGTGAAGTTACAATCATTGCTTTTACGGGACACTTTTTTCCCTCTGCTCTTATTTTGTCTAGATTCCTGAAGTATACACTCCAGTTCTTGAACGTCTAATTGTGGTGCAGATAGATAGTTTTCCACAGTACAGTGTAAAAATGCAGTCGGCCTGTTGCAAATCCATAGTAAAGGTTTTCCTAGCCCTGGCAGGAAAGGGACCAGTTCTCTGGAGTTTCATCAGCACGGTGGGTGAGTATGTGTTACTGACTCCTGATTTTTCCATCTACAATGATAAACCAGTTGTAAGATAAGTTTGTGGAGTATTTATCTGAGATAGTCTCAATGATAATGGCCATTTTGGGAGCAACCTGAGGACTCCCACTCTCCAGGCCAGGAGAGGGTTTGGGGTGCTGATTACATTACACTTGAACATCCTCTACCAGCTCGCTCTACAAATGAGTAGCAACCTTGTATGAGAACTTGACGATGATGTACACAAAAGGTTAAATGAAACAGTAGTCCCTTAAAAATACAGAGGTAGCTGTTACTGCTCTTGATCAGATGCATTGGGTTGAGGGGGACTCGACCAACAAAAATAAAAAGTCCCTGTTTCCCATTTGCAAAATTCTTAAACTTTATATTAAAAAAAAAAAAATAAAAAAATGTGTACACCTGTTTAGGCCTGGGAGCACTCTTGTGGTTGATGCTATTGTAGACTCTACCAGAAATACATGATGATGAGCTCTTTGCTTTATGGAATATATTAATGGTATAAAATGAAGTTCTAAATTTGTGATGTTGTTGAGATACAATCCTGTGAACAGAACAGTGTCTCACAATGCTTATAAAGTTTCTAAGATTTCCCAGCACCCCCTAATTTTATATTAATTGCAAGTCTTTTTTCTTATTACATTGGGGTTTATTAATTTTCTGTTTAGTAACTGATCCCGTGATGTATTGTGTACCCACAGTATCATACTCTAACACAAGTCATGACTCCATGCTCAGTGAAGTCCACTGGGAGTTTTCTCATTTACTGCAATGGGCATTAGATCAAGTACTCAATTCTGAGTACAACCAGCATCAGACCTGGAGAAAGGGGTGAGGCAGTGCTGACAAAATGTGATGTGGAAGCAGTACAAAATTTTTTTTCCTGTGGGAGATCCTGAAATTAGAGTCCACTTCTGGCTGTGCTTGCCAATTGATAAACTTCCTCTCCCCTCTATTTTTAAAACCCAAATTCTATCAGAATGCCAGAAATAAAAAGTTATGTACAGCTTTCTTTTAGTGAATCATTTGGATGATGTGCCTTTGAAATCTGTTCAGATAATTTTTTTCTTTCAGTGCATCAGGGGTTAGTCAGAGTCTGCTCCAAGCCGATTACCTTCTCAAGGGTAAGTTAATTATTGAGACTCTTCACTGGAAGTGTTTTTGATTTAAACAATGCAAAAGGCAGAGACTACTGTATATAGTTATCAGATCTGTAAAGTAGGAATAACCTTTTGGGAATCAGCTGATTGTTCTTTGGCCATCTGTGATGTTTGTTACAAAAAAGATGCAAAGAAACTGGTAGCTTTAAAAACAAATAAACGATCTTATATGATAGTTTTGCATACTACTTAATGAATGAAAAGCCCTGTAAGCTGTTTATGTCCATTCCAATCAGGTTTGTGCGCATGCACGATAGCTGGAGGAGTTTTCCCATAGCAGTCTCTGTTGGGTTGGCCTGGGCGCCCCCTGGAGTTGCGTCTTCATGGCGCTCAATAGAGAGCCCTGCTGACCCGCCACCCCCTCAGTTCCTTCTTACCACCAGTGATGGTTAGCTGGAATATCCCATAGCCCTGGTTTAGCAAGTGTCTTCATCTCTGTTTTTGTATATAGCTCTCGCCCCCTAGGACATGAGGCGCTGGCTGGCACCGCCATAGCCCCTGCGCTCGAAGACAATCGGGTGTTGCAGAAGTTGCTGCGCCGGGTTGCCCAGGGTCTGGGCATCAAGGCAGAGGAGGTAGTAGAGGACTCTGATCCCATGGTGGATATCCTTGCGCCCTCTGGACCTTCCTGTATTGCCCTACTGCTCATAAAAACTATTGTGGATACCATCAAAACCCTGTGACAGAATGCAGCCTCATTGCCACCCACTGCCAAGCACAATGAACGGCAATATTTTGTGCCCTCTATGGGTTATGAACATCTTTATTCCCACCCGCAACCTGATTCTCTTGTTGTGGATGCTGCTAATCAGCACTGCTAATCAAGACCCCTCCCCCAAAAACAGGGAGGCTAAAGAACTTGACCTTTTTGGGAGGAAGGTCTATTCCATGGGTGGATTGCAGCTCCGTGTTTCCAACCAACAGGCCATTGTCAGCCGGTACTCTTTTAATACCTCTACGGCAATGGAAAAATTTGCAGAGCTGCTCCCCCTAGACTCCCGTGCCGAGTTTTTGGCCTTGTTTGAGGAGGGCAAGCTAATCTCCCGAGCTTCCTTCCAGCCTCCACTGGACAGTGCTGATGCAGCCACGAGAGTCATGGCTACAGGGGTGACCATGAGAAGGGGCTTCAAGTCTCTGGTCTCCCATACGAGGTCCAGCAGACCATACAGGACCTCCCCTTTGAGGGTGTGACTCTGTTTTCGGAGAAGACAGATAAAAGGCTACACAGCCTAAAAAACTTGAGCCACCCTCAAATCCTTGGGCCTACACACTCCTGCCACCCAGCAGAAGCATTTCAGGCCTCAACCTCCTCTGCGGTTCTACCAATAGAACTGACAGGACAGCTCCCGGAGGAGGAATAGGAACAGCAGAAAAAGTCCTCATCCATCCTCAGGCTAGGGCTCTGGGCCAACCCAAATCACCTTCCGGCCCCAAACAGGTCTTTTGAAGGCGCGATCAAGTATGGCGCACCAGAACAAAAACTGGATCTATCCTGCCTTATCTTTTTCCTCCCGACTGTCCCCTTTCTACTGTGCATGGTCCCGTATCACTTCCGACTGCTGGGTGCTCCACATGGTAGAGAGGGGATATTCCATCCAATTCCGTGCCCTCCTCCCTTCCACCCCCCCTTCCCCATCCTTCTTCAGGACCCCTCTCACAAGCAACTCCTTGTACAGGAGGTGCACTCACTCCTTTTGCTAGGGGCAGTGGAAGAGGTTCCTCGGGAGCAGAAGAGCAAGGATTTCTGTTCTCGGTATTTCCTAATACCGAAAGCCAAGGGCGGGCTCAGGCCCATACTAGACCTGTGAGAACTCAACAGATTCATGAAGAAGCTCAAGTTCTGCATGGTCTCTTTGGCCTCTGTCATTCCTTTATTGGATCCAGGAGACTGGTATGCCGCCCTCGACTTGAGGGACCCATACTTTCACATAGCAATAACTCTGTCCCACAGAAAATACCTCAGGTTTGTAGTGAACAGCACCCACTACCAGTTTACAGTCCTTCCGTTCGGCCTTTCAGCGCCACCTCATGTTTTTGTGACATGCATGGTAGTCGTGGCTGCGTTCCTGCGCAGACGGTAGGTACAGGTGTTCCCGTACCTGGACGACTGGCTCATCAAGGCCTGCTCCAGGTCTCAAGTGGAGGCACAAGTCAACTTCGTAAGTGCGACGTTCGATGAACTGGGCCTTCTTCTGAACGAGGGAAAACCAGCGCTGTCCCCGGTTCAGAGGGTAGAGTTTATAGGGGCAGTACTGGACTTGATACAAGCCAGGGCATACCTCCTGGACGCAAGGTTTCGGTCCCTCGGCGACATCATACGAGGTCTCAGGCAGTTCCCCACCATCACAGCAAGGAATTGCCTGAAATTCCTGGGACACATGGTGGCTTGTACCTACGTAGTACAGCATGCCAGACTCAGACTTCAGCTTCTTCAATTGTGGCTAGCGTTAGTGTGTCGGCCAGTCCGGGACAGCTTGGACAGGATCATAACCCTGCCTTGCCCGGTACTTGACTTGCCCACAGATAGTATGTGCAGGGGTCCCCTTCACCAGCACTCAGCCGTCCCTCTTGCTAGTGATGGATGCGTCAGCCTTGGGCTGGGGAGCACATTTGGGAGAACTCAGAACACAAGGCCTCTGGTCTCAGGCAGAACTCGCTCTCCACACCCATGTCAGAGAGCTGGGAGCGGTGCGCTGGCGTGCCAGACTTTCCAAGCCTACTTGATAGGGAGGTGTGTATCAGTTATGACAGACAACACCACGGCGATGTTCTATATCAACAAACGGGGGTGCACGTTCCTCTCCCCTGTGCCAGGAAGCCCTCATGTTGTGGGATTTCTGTAACAAGCACTTGATACATCTGTATGCATCGTATCTCTCCAGAGTACAGAATGAGTTGGCGAACTATCTCAGCAGGTCGTTCCGCGGCCACGAGTGGTCTCTTCACCCGGACGTGGGGAACTCAATCTTCCATCAGTGCGCCACACGACGCAACAGGAAGTGCCAGCAGTTTTTCTCCTTCCTGAATTACAGTCCGGGTTCCATCACAGATGTGAGCCTCCGCATTGGAGGAGGAAATCTCCTATACGCGTTTCCGCCCATTCCGCTCGTTCACAAGGTACTCCTCAAGATTCGGAGGGAACGAACTTCAGTGATATTGATCGCCCCAGCCTGGCCCTGCCAGCGCTGGTACACATCACTCCTGGAAATGTCCGTAGAAGCTTCAGTCATCTTGCTGCTCTTCCGGGACTTACTAATTCAGGATCACGGCCGTCTTCAACACCTGAACGTCAAGTCGCTGCACCTCATGGCGTGGAAGCGCCATGGCTGACCCCGATGGAGCTTTCTTGCTCAAACCCAGTTAGACAAGTCCTCCTTGGCAGTAGGAAGCCTTCCATCAGGGCTACCTACCTTGCCAAGTGGAAGAGATTTTCAATCTGGTCGGCGCAGCACCGTTCGTCCCTGACACTTGCCTCTGTGCCACTTACATTGGACTATCTCCTCCATCTCAAGCAGCAGGGGCTGTCCATGTTGTCAGTAAGGGTTCATTTGGCCGCCATCTCTGCCTTTCACCCAGGAGCAGAGCGCTGCTTGGTCTTTGCTAACCGTATGGTTAGTAGCTTCCTTTAAGGTTTTGACATACTATACCCGCAGGTCCCAGCTTGAGACCTCAATCTGGTCCTTTCCAGGCTCGGGTCCACCCTTTGAACCTTTGATGACATGCTCCTCTCTCTCTCTCTCTCTCTCTCTCTCTTTCATGTAAAGTAGCGTTTCTGGTAGCGATAACCTCAGCCAGAAGGGTGTCTGCGCTCAAGACCCCTGACATCAGAGCCCCCTTATACCTTGTTCTGTAAGGACAAAGTTCAGCTCAGACCCCACCCGGCTTTCCTCCCAAAGGTTGTCTCCCAGTTTCACATCAACCAGGACATCTTCCTCCCCGTATTCCATCCTAAGCCTCACTTGAGCAGCAGGGAGCAAAGGCTTCACTCATTGGATATACGCAGAGCGCTAGCCTTCTACGTTGGGAGAACGAAGTCATTCTGAAAGTCGGTCCAGTTATTTGTGGCAATGGCGGACAGGGTGAAAGGTCTTCCTGTCTCCTCTCAGCGAATATCGTCATGGATCACGTCTTGTATCCGTGAGTGCTTCAACCTGGCGAAGGGCTCTGGCCTCTTCAACGGCATTCCTGGCGCAGGTTCTCACCCAGGAAATCTGCAAAGCAGCGACATGGTCCGCCATACATACTTTCACCACGCATTATGTGATCACCCAGAGATGATGCGCCCTTTGAAAGAGCCGTGCTCCAATCAGTGGATGACTCTGACCCCACCTCCTGAACTTGGCCTTGTGAGTCACCTGATTGGAATGGACATGAACAAGCACTCGAAGAAGAAAAAACGGTTACTCATCTTCTCATAACTGTTGTTCTTTGAGATGTGTTGTACATGTCCATTCTAATACCCACCCTCCTACCCTTTTGTCAGGGTAGCTGTCAAGAAGGAACTTAGAGGGTGGTAGGTTGGCAGGGCTCTATATTAAGCGCCATAAAGGCGTGACTCCAGAGGGCACCCAGGCTGACCCGATGGGAGGCTGCTATGGGAAAAATTTTCTGGCTACCATGCACATGCGTGCACACACCCCTGATTGGAATGGATATGGACAACACATCTCGAAGAACAACAGTTACGAGAAGGTGAGTAACTGGTTTTTTTTTTTTTTTTCCATATGATAGCACTTCAAAAGATAGCAAGAAAGGGTGCCCTGCACCTCTTAAACTCTTTGTTGCTTAGATTGGTCATCTCAAACTAGATTGTAACTAATCAGTGAAACTTCAGTCCATGTTAAACATCATAGAAACTCCAAAGGATAAATCTAACTGAGCATGTAACAGGGCCAGCCACTTTTCAGGCACTCCTTTGTGACTTGGGTGGCTCTATAGCCCCCTGCCTCAGTTTCCCCTTCTGCTACGTCACCCTTAAAGTCCACGCAATCCAAATATTCAATGCATTCCCCTTCTGGAGTCCAATTTATTAAAACCTGCACAGTATGTTGCAAAACCAAACTCAAACCACAGAGAGCTTGTCTATACGAACGTTTAGTTGGTGCCAAGCTGTTGTGTACTCACCTGCTGTGTACTAACTGTCTGCTCCTGTTTCAAAATGGGGTGTAGATTAAAGTGCTCTAGGGCACTTTTCGTGTGTGGCAGTAGGGTCTACACGGAGAGGTAGTCAGTGGAAGGCTAATGCAAGGTAGATTTACACCCAAGCTTGTGGCGAACTAAGTGTTTGTGTAGACAAGGCCAGAGTCTTTGCCCCAGTCCCAAGCTGGGCACAGGGCCTCCTCCCTAGAGTCTCTCTTCCCTTCAGAGTTCTAATACTCTCCTCTCTCCTTGTGTCAGGAGCTCCCACAGCTGGGTTGTAATCAAATAGAGCAGGGGTCGGAAACCTTTCAGAAGTGGTGTGCCGAGTCTTCATTTATTCACTCTAATTTAAGGTTTTGCGTGCCAGTAATACGTTTTAACGTTTTTAGAAGGTCTCTTTCTATAAGTCTACAATATATAGCTAAACTATTGTTGTATGTAAAGTAAATAAGGTTTTTAAAATGTGTAAGAAGCTTCATTTAAAATTAAATTAAAATGCAGAGCCCCCCGGACCGGTGGCCAGGACCCGGGCAATGTGAGTGCCACTGAAAATCAGCTTGGGTGCCGCCTTCGGCTCGCGTGCCATAGGTTGCCTACCCCTGAAATAGAGCCTTTTTTACTGCCTGCAGCACTCTCCTACAGCTGCTCTCTCAGGGCAGCTGCAGCTTCCCAGGCTTCTGTCATGCCTGGCACTTCTAGTCTGGGCCTAGTTGGAGTGTTATGTTCCCACTTGAGCTCCCTTCCCCAGGGACTACCCCCGGAGTCTATACTTTCCTTCCTTCTCCTTATCCTATCACTGACCTCATGATCTCACCCTTTGTTACCCACCTGGGGAGGTGAGCCGATCTTCTCACAGGTGCGGCTGAGGCTCCATTTCCTCTAAGAGGTGGGCCAGCCACCCTGTGATAGAACACTTGCCTTGTGAAGGAATTTTAAAATGTAACAGTCAATCTCTTACACTGCATTGAATCAGAATCTCTCTAAACTAACAGATTACCTAAATGAAATGGAGGTCCAGCACATACACTGGAGAATTTTATAAGCTGCTAGTTGTACTCTGCTATCTCCAGCATGGTAAAACCAGAAAGTTGTCTGTTTCAGTTTTCTGATCTAAAAGTGACTTCCAGTTACTTATGTTAGCCTCTATTGAGACGACTTCTCTTTCTAAGGGAAATATGCAGCCGAGTCTATTGTAGGTAGTTTCACATGCAATGTATTGTACAGTTATTTAAAAATATTAACATATTGATCTGTTGCACTGCCCTGTAGGAGATTTTTGGCAAAGAAGTTTCTAAATTGGAAGAGTCCACAACAGCTGGAGAGGTCAGAACTGGGAAATGGAAAGTACCTACGTATAAGGACTATCTGGATCTTTTTAGAAGCCTATTGAACTGTGACACAATGAAGGTAAAAACCCACTTAACACTGAGACCCAACAAGAAACAGTTGAACTCCTTGTTTTTTTTGTTACATTTATTCAATTAATCCAAGATTATTGTTTGAGTAAAGTTTATTGCTCTTGAAAGCAAGTAACTAACATCGCTGGCTAACACCTGGCCTCGTACAGCCATATATTATGCAGGCTGCCTTGCTTGGTTCTGCCAAAGAATCCTAATCCTGTCCTGTTCTTATCCCTGCTATGCCAACCCTAGATTTCTTCCAGGCAGGCAGCCAATCATGCTGCAGTATAGTGATTTAATGATATGGACTCTGAATGTGGGCTGAGGGTGCGATGGTCATATTAAATTAACAAAGATGAATTTGGCTTCCTGGGGTGAAAGGCTTCTGTACTAACCCACTGCACCACAATCCCCCAAAACTTTACAAGTTTAAAAATAAAGGAGAATATAAATTTCAGAAGAGCTCTTACCATTGTTTTGAAGCTTATCCCTTTTTCTCTCACAAAGGAGTCCGTTTTGGCAGATGAAACCTTTCTGATTGCAAATGCACCGCTGCTTTCTCTGAACCGTTTGTTGTATGATGAACTTATAAAATCGATATTGAAGATTATTGAGAAGTTGGACTTGACAGTTCAGAAACTGAATGTTAGTGAACAGGTGAGGCCTGATATTTTGCAATAATTATTGTGATGAAAACCCCAAATCACAGTCTTTTGCCTTTCTTTTCATACAGTGTAGCCCATGAAGTCTCCTTGAGTTAAAATTCATAATAGTCAAAATGTATTAAATTTTATTTCTGGAAGCTATTTCCAAACTGCCATGATGGTTGTCTTCAAGACAGACAAAATTCCCTCCTTGGCATCCTGTGATCTCATTATTTTTGTTTTTCTTAGTGAGTGAGTATTTTCAGTTATTACAAGTCCAATGAATTACGTATGTCTGTTTTTAAAAAGACAGATTAACGTGTAGCAAACTAGTGGGCATACTCTTTTTCCTGCCCTGTGGCTGACTGATAACAGTGGGTAAGTGTTGTCCCAATCTGTAATGCCCTCTCTGTTGAAGCACATAAATATTTTTTTTTCTCTCCCTCCCCCACCCCTCTCCCAGGATGAAAATGAAGCTGGCAGTGCTTTGGTTGTTCCTACTTCTGATCCAGCTTCAAACCTTCAGCCAACTAAGCCTAAAGATTTTATAGCATTCATTAACCTAGTAGAATTCTGCAGGTACTGCATGTTCTATAATTTGGGAATTATGGAGTAGGTGCTGGGATAGAAATGTGAACTGTTAGTATTGAGTGTGATCATTTCCTGGTTTCTAGCCATATTTGAAGTCTGTTTAAAATGCACAATGTCTAGAACACTAGTTGGAAGCCAGTAAGCACATTTTGAACATTTAGATTGTGGGTGAAAATATTAGTATACTGAAACTGTATAGAAGATTTGCAGCAAACTCCAGGATACATGATGCCCTTAAAATTGAGTGAGGAATTAACTGTGTGACTGCTGCACTTTAGTGCTTTGTCATCCATATATTCTAAGTGCTTAGCTTCCGATTCTTAAACGTCAGAAACTTACAATTCAATATTAGAGGTTTTTGTCACTATTCTAGTACTCTTATAAGATGCTTGATTAGTCATTCACCTTCATTTTATTCTCAGACATGCTTGCCTAAAATACCTGCAGCATGTGTTAAAAATAGCATCTATAATTACACTAGTTATTGTAGAATATAATAATTGAGGACTTTCAGCTCTCATGCTTTAGGTCATAAGATCTCCTTTAAAATATACTACACTATTTTACTGTGAAGTCCCCAAACTCTACAATAGCGTTATTGTAACCTGTAAGTGTTTAGGATCATTATTGTGGAAATATTGTAATATATTCTTTATAAGGGTGATCACTGGATGGGGTCAGGAAGAAATTCTCTTTGTGCCCTTTTTAATGTTGTGTAATTAAGGGCAGTCTGGGAATTTTACTCCTTCCTCTTTATTATCCTGTAACTGATTTATTTTCAAGATTGATAGTTGGTCTGTTGCATTATGGCAGTTCTCATGTTTTTCACTTTCAAGCTGGTGTAAGAAAAACTCATTTCAGTTTATTTTGTTTGAATGTTCCCTGTGCATTTATTTTACAGAGAAATTCTGCCAGAGAAGCATGTTGAATTTTTTGAACCATGGATGTATTCCTTTGGTTATGAGCTTATTATACAGTCAACACGGTTACCTCTTATTAGTGGATTCTACAAATTGCTCTCTGTTGCAATGAAGATTGCCAAGAAAATAAAATACTTTGAGGTGAGTACTCTCACTTGGGGCATTTCATGTTGTATTTTAATGACTATGTAAGTTGAGGTATACTTGTGCACAACTGAAAATATTTATTAGTTATTGTTCCTTATTTTATTTAAAAAATTTTGGTGCAAATTATGCCTTTTTGCAAAAAAACCTATTGGAAAGCTGAAATTAGCCTGAAAACTCAGCTTTTTAAAATATATCATCCATATGGGATTCCTTTCTGCTGGATCTTCGCTTCTTAGTGTGAGATTAATAGAACTCACCTAGCACTTAAGGGTGTTTTACGTTTAAGGTGACTGGCCAGATTCTCAGCTGATGTAAATTGGCATAGATCCATTGGCTTCAAGGGAAGGAGGCTGATTTATACAAGCTAGGAAAATGATCCAATAAATTCAGAGAAGCAGAATTACCAAGTAAATAAGTTTCTCTTTCATTTTCTGAGTTTGTATCCTGTTGTGGGAGGAAGATTCATGTGCAAGGAAGCTTGTGGGCAAAGGAGATCCTTCAATTCAATGTATATCCTTAGAGCTGTGAGGGAGGGAAAATCACAGATCTTGAACCACCTACATAGAGAAGCTGTCCTTCTGCACTGCATGCCTTCTCCCACCAAAAATGGGAACATGGTTCATACAAAGAGCCTGGCTGTGCCTGCCTCTCCAAGAGCTGTAGAAGGGAAGGACCAGTTTTTCACAAAAGTTCAAACTAAGAAGGTCGCCTTGATTTCCACAGAAATTGTGTAGACATTTATGCAGGTTAGCGTGAGGGGATTATGCTATGGTGAGCTGCCTTCTTTTCCTACCCCACTCCCTTTCTAGCCACACCTTTATAAACCTGAAGAGCCATATATGCACACTATTCATGGAAAGAATCTTGCTTGTGTTTTCTTTGGCCAGGGGTGATGGGCGGGGAGAGGAAGTGATGCTGCTGCTTAAACTCCTACATCCATATGCATATTGATCACTTTGGCTAGTATTTGCATATATTTAGTAGCCTCTGTACATCAAAGCAGAGAGGATGACTTTGTCTTCAGTCCTTTTTGGTAGTATGTAATGGTGACTTTTGCTGAGAAAAGAGAATGAATGTACATTTTAAGCTTTCACTTTAGCAGATCTGTTAGTATTCCGGCAATAACATATTCTTATCCTGCAGCTTTTTGTTTTGAGCCTAACTTGTGGAACAAGTCTTGATGTTTGTCAGAACACGTACCTTTTGTGTATTTTTATTTATTTTTATTTTTTTTATTTATTATTCATAGCACTGATGATAGTTTCTGTTTGGCAGGGTGTAAGTCCAAAGAGTTACCAAAAATGCCCTGATGACCCTGAGAAGACCTCTTGCTTTGCACTATTTGCAAAATTTGGAAAAGAGGTAAACCATTTTCCTTGTTAGGCTTCTATTACTATATCAATATAAACAGTTATTTCCAGTACAGCATTTTTAACAGTAGTATCTTTTTAACTTTTGTCTCCATAATAACACAGCATTATCCCAGCATTTTGGGTTAGAAGAGATACTTACTTTAAGTAAGTATTTAAATAAATATGACCATGAGCAGGTGTCTTTCCCTGCCTGCTTGCAAGCACAGACCAAATACTCTGTAGTCCAAACTTGCTGCCTTTCTGAGGTTTGGTTTCATTAACGTAGAAACAAACAATAAGATCAAATTCAGTTCAAGCTTCTCCTGACTTGGCTGCTCAGTCAACACCCTAAATCTCTTATATTTGAGTGGAGAAATAAACCACCTGCCTGAATAAGTCACCAAAAACACCTTTAGAGTCTCAGGTAGGATCAACACCTGCTCCCGGGCTGGTATGTTTCAGACCGAACAAGGTCATTCCAGTAAGTTGAAGTAATTGTGTCAGATAACCCAATAGTGCAGTATAAAATTGTACAATATGATTTCTTTCTTTAAGTAAAGTTCCAAAATGACTAGAAGTGATTCTGACTTGGGAGAAAGACATTTACATCCCTTACTCAACTTAAAAAATGTAAAGTTGATTTATTAAACAAAGATAACTATTATCATGCCTTTTAGTCCATCCCCCCTAGTAAATTATTAGTGCCAAGAATGAACTTCAGGGAAGGAAATGCTGCTTAGTATAAAATAAATATCAACACACATCTTCCATTGTTAAATGAAAATAATTAATTCAAGGGTAACAATTGTCATTTCTCTTTTTAAACATGAATGGCAAATTCTACCATACTGCAGTGGAATTATCTCAACAAATCAAAGTACAAGGATGTTGTGCAGTTCCTGATCTACAACTGTACAGTTACTTCTCAGTTGTGCATTATATATTGCATGATAATGAGTTATTCTCTGTGTGGCATTCAGATCCTATACCTGGATTTATTGTTTGAGTTTATAGAATGGACCTGTCACAAACTATATTTAAAAATGCTTATTACAAAACAAATGTAAGTTGACATAATGTCAGTTAAAACATACTCTGGTGTTCAAAAATTGAGACTCAGTCCACCACCTGGGAGAAAACTATGTGAATACATAGGCTTTGTAGTATGTTTATGTATACAGTAAGTTAGGCTTTGTCGGACCAATGGAGGAAGCAAATTCCATAGTTTAAAATACAATCTTTGGTCCTAGCGTTTTGTTTAGGAGACAAGTTTAACAATATTAAGAGCAAGCACTGTCCTTGAACTTATCTCCTGACTACAATCAGTTTAAGTTAAGCAGCAGACAAATCATCCTATTACTGTTGATATGATATGCAGTCATAGTATTGATATGACTTTTTTGTAATATGGGATAAGAGTGAAGTATTTAAAAAGAAAAACACTTAAACGTGTGATGTCAGTACAGCCCCTCATTAGAACTGGATTCTTAATTTACTCTTTGAACTGAAATCATACCAAAACCATGAAACCTCACAAAACCCTCTCTTCCAGTGGGGTTTAAAGGTTTTGGCTGATTCTACAGTACCTAAAATACCAACTCTTAAGTACAACTTTTACTCTCAAGATATTTTCTGAGCTGCTATTAATTTCTGTTATCCTACCCTTTATGTTCTAATCAGTAAACAAGATTCCTGTGTTCTGTGAATTATATAGCAACATATAGTGATACAGCCAACACTTTCAAGATCCTGTAAAGTTTTGTTTACCAACTAAACAAGTGATCTGCTCAATTATTATTATTTGTTACATTTCTGAATTTTAGGTAACAGCAAAAATGAAACAGTACAAAGACGAGTTGTTAGCATCATGTCTGACCTTTGTACTCTCCTTACCACATGACATCATCATGCTTGATATCAAAGCATACATTCCTGCGTTGCAGGTGGGTCAGTCTGATGTACAGTTAACATTCTTTGTTGGCTTTTGTTTTTAAAATCACTCTTGCAAAATTTTGTAATTGTATATGATTTTTTTTTTTTTTTTTTTTGGTATGGATAAGTAAGAAATCTTTCACTTTTGCATCACCATTGATAAAAGGGTCAATGAGCCGACTTTTTGTGAGAGCTGGTAAATTTGTATGGCTACAATGTGATGTTTGCAGCTCCACTTGAAGGTCCTGATCATGCAAAGGCGTTCCAATGTTGTAATGAAGTAAAATAAATGTTTGGTACATTAGCATGTCAGCTGTTAGGGAACTAAAGATATAAAAGGAAATTATAATTTATTGTGTTATAATTTACTCATAAAGCTATCTTTTCTTTAAATCTTAGTATTTCCCAAAATATTTAATAGCTTTGTTGGTTTAATATGTAGAATGCATTTAAGCTGGGCCTCAGCTATACCCCAATGGCTGATGAGGGGCTGGATGCCCTGGAAGACTGGTCAGCTCACATTCCCAAACATATAATGCAGCCTTACTACAAGGATGTCCTGCCTCTCTTTGATGGCTATTTGAAAACCACTGGATCGGCAGGTATGTAGTAGAAAACATTGATAGTTTAGAAACATTAATAAAGAGTTGGGGACATTTGCAAGCTTTTAATATATTCAAATATAACTAATTCAGTAGAGCCTGAGAGTGCAGATGTAGGATACTTGCAGCTTATTGTAGAAACTCTTGCATGTGGAATATTAAGAGATTCTTCTACAACCAAGAATTGTGCTTTTTTTTTTTTTTTTTTTTTTTTTTTAAACTGAGAGATATTAGTGACTGCTGCAAGTAGAATCCCAACAATAGCAAATGGTATCAATTTATATGTGCCATCCTTCAGATTGTTTTCAGCAGTAGCTAACAGGACAATAACTATTGTATTATCCCTAGTATATTGTGGTAAGTTTTGTGATGTTAGTGGGAGTTCTGTGCACACGTGAGTGGGTCGTAACCCCAGTTATCTGGTCTTCAGTTCCAGCTATAATAACTGGCTTTTTCAGTGCTCGTAGCCCAAGTAAAAGGCCCATATTGGATGGTGATATTTTACCTCTACTGACACCCCAATTAGCTGTTGTGCAATAATAATTTCTGAAAAATTAGCAGGGCCTCTTCATGGCCAATCTTGTGCCACCCTGTAAATTGCTTGGTGGGGGTGGTGATTTCTGTTACAGAGAATGGCTATTGCCCTTCTCTCTGCACCTCACAAGTTCAAGCAAATCCTGTCTTCAGCTCACCCACGCTCTCAATGCTTGATGACAATAGTCCCATTGTCTCCTTTCTGGTGTTAAGTTTCCTTTGAGTCAGCTTAAGTTGTTTCTGTAACATGAAGAGTTTTTCCATGTCTGATATCTGAAAAGGAAACTTAATTTTTGCAAAATCACTTTTAAGAGAATAAATTCAGTAGGATTTGAGGGTGGGTGAGTACAGTATGTGGGCATTAATAAGCTGCTTCTTGTTGATCAGATGAATCCCAGAATAATTGGGAAGTGAGGAAGCTTTCTCGTGCAGCCCAGAAAGGATTTAACAAAGTTGTGATACAACGTCTGAAAAAAGCAAAGACCCTTTCATTGGTAAATCCTTCCCTTTCTCTATTGAAACTGACATTAACATTTCTGTTCTCCTCAGCTTTCAAAACCAAAGAGTATTATACCTTTTCAGAAGTAGATGTGAAAATACACTGTGTATATCTTAGAGTGCATCATTATTTGCTGGCAGTTACTGCATATAACCATGAATTCTCTCATTTTTCTTAGCAACATTTCATGTATTTTTTTTCTTGTATATAATATGAGGCCTGACTGAAATATTGAATAAACTGATGTTTGTGAGATGCCTTCCAAAATCAGATGCTGCACATATAGGCTTGTGAACAGGGCCCTGTGGATCCCTTGATTGTGGAAATCACTTCTTGCCACAGAATTGGGCTCAAGAATTTAAGCTGTTACTTTTTAAAATATGTTTCTGGCCCGTACGATTGCAGAGTAAATCTTGGGTACAAATTGATGCAGAGTTGTCTTCCTAAATCTGTGGACAACCAGGAACAGTAGCACAGAGAGGTGAACTGTCCCACTCATCTCAATGAGATATTAACTCTGAAACATAAACTTGATAATCTGTGGCATATTGAAAATGTGCATCAGTATGAAATAATTGGAATTGAATGTCACATGAATAATGCAGGGGTTAGTTAATTGATTGTGGTGCTTAACTTTATGTATTTCAGTAAAATAATAAAAAAAGCCCTACATAATAAAAATGTATCTAAAACTACTTCCGAATTTCCAGAACAGCCACCAGACTGCTGATAATTTACATCCAGTTTTCTGCAGAGTACATGAGGCCTTGCTCATAAGACGTATATGATGTTTTTCTGACTGGTACTCAAGCCACACTAAAATCAGAATCTGGTTTTACAGTGGTTCTGAATGGTACTTTATGGATATTTATTTTGTATCCTATCCAAAACTTAATTGAAACTCATGAAAGTCAGGCATATCACCTATCCAACCCAGGGGTTTCTCTCTCACTTTAGAAAACAGTGGCATAGTTTAATTTATGTGTAATTTAATTTGTGTAACTTAATGTATAAACTACCTGGAAGGAGACAGTTTTAAGCATGTACACAATAGCTAATCCTAGTTGTGTATGCAGTGTTGTAACCGTGTCAGTCCCAGGGTATTAGAGAGACAAGGTGTATGAGGTAATATGTTTTATTATTCTCTGTGTTGCTCAAAAGCTGGTCGCTCACCAACAGAAGTTGGTCCAATAAAAGATATTCCCTCATCCGCTTTGTCTTTCTATTTGTGCAGACTGTGTCAAATCCAGTAGTTTATGAACAAAGCCAGTTAGTTTATACATTAAATGAATTTACGTCATTGTTGGCTGTTGGGTATTCAGCACTTCTGAAAATCAAGCATATGCCTAAATATGGATTTAGGAGCTTAACTTTAAGCCCCTATTTTAAAAGAAATCTTTACCTTAAGTGTTTTGATTTTGTGAAATTCTGCACCCATCAATGTATTCTGTAGGCATGTGATATTCCTGTGCAAAATGGAGACACACGTGTCACAAAATTATTTTACCCTTTCTGCAGAAATTGCCACTGAAGTGTCGCAAAATATGGTGACTGTTTTGATGCCTTCAGAATAAATCTAATAGGGAGAGGAACTGCATATGGAGCCAGATAAAAATATATATAAAATGTTTTCCAGTGCTTCTCTGTGTCTCTTACTGAGTCAAGAATCCCCCCCCCCCCCCACTGTTTTAACTTTGTGGACAGAAATCTTATAATTAAGACCCTAATCCTGTATCCACTTATATTTGTAAAGTTACACACATGCATGAGTAGCCCCACTGTCTTCACTTTTCTAATGATGTCCTGAATTATCCAGGAAGATCATCTATCCTTGGAAGCTGTAAGAACTAGAGTGGTACGGCTTCTTGGATCTTTGGGAGGGCAGATCAATCGAAATTTACTTACAGGTGAGTGTCCAAAAATATTAAACACTTTTATGCTCTCTCTCATTTACAACTGACTTTAAGTGCAGGTTCATAAATGTTATCCTTTTATGAAATAAGGTGACCTTACCAAATAAAAACTATTTTAGTAGGCTGGTTCCATTTTGTAAGCTTTCCAGTTAAATATTGGCGTTACATTAGCTATCTTCCAGTCATTGGGTACAGAAGCCGATTTAAAGGACAGGTTACAAACCATAGTTAATAGTTCTGCAACTTCACATTTGAGTTCTTTCAGAACTCTTGGGTGAATGCCATCTGTTCTCGGTGACTAGTTACTGTTAAGTTTATCAATTAATTCCAAAACCTCCTCTAATGACACTTCAATCCGTGACAATTCCTGAGATTTGTCACCTACAAAAGCCGGCTCAGGTTTGGGACTCTCCCTAACATCCTCAGCCGTGAAGACTGAAGCAAAGAATCCATTTAGTTTCTCCGCAATGACTTTATCATCTTTAAGCGCTCCTTTTGTATCTCAATCATCAAGGCGCCCCACTGGTTGTTTAGGAGGCCTCCTGCTTCTGATGTACTTAAAAAACATTTTGTTGTTACCTTTGGAGTTTTTGACTAGCTGTTCTTCAAACTCCTCTTTGGCTTTTCTTATTACATTTTTACACTTAATTTGGCAGTGTTTATGCTCCTTTCTATTTACCTCACTAGGATTTGACTTCCACTTTTTAAAACATGCCTTTTTATCTCTCACTGCTTCTTTTACATGGTTGTTAAGCCACGGTGGCTCTTTTTTAGTTCTTTTACTGTGTTTTTTAATTTGGGGTATACATTTAAGTTGGGCCTCTATTATGGTGTCTTTGAAAAGCGTCCATGCACTTTAGTCACTGTACCTTTTAATTTCTGTTTAACTAACCCCCTCATTTTTGCATAGTTCCCCTTTTTGAAATTAAATGCCGCAGCGTTGGGCTGTTGAGATGTTCTTCCCACCACAGGGATGTTAAATGTTATTATATTATGGTCACTATTTCCAAGCGGTCCTGTTATAGCTACCTCTTGGACCAGCTCCTGCGCTCCACTCAGGACTAAATCGAGAGTTGCCTCTCCCCTTATGGGTTCCATAGAATCTCTATGGATAGACATTTCATGCTCTAATAAGAATATAACATTAGGAATCTATTATTGACCACCTGACCAGGACAGTGATAGTGATGATGAAATGCTAAGGGAAATTAGAGAGGCTACCAAAATTAAGAACTCAATAATAGTGGGGGATTTCAGTTATCCCCATATTGACTGGGAACATGTCACCTCAGGACGAAATGCAGAGACAAAATTTCTTGATACTTTAAATGACTGCTTCTTGGAGCAGCTGGTATGGGAACCCATAAGGGGAGAGGCAACTCTCGATTTAGTCCTGAGTGGAGCGCAGGAGCTGGTCCAAGAGGTAACTATAACAGGACCGCTTGGAAATAGTGACCATGTGGTTTCACTTAAGATTTTTACTTCATTTGATTCTACATTTTCTTTCACATATAGTGCAACTCCCCTCCCCCCCCCCCGACCTGTTCTGTCCTTCCGATATATTTTGTACCCCGGAATGATTGTGTCCCATTGATTGTCCTCAGTCCACCAGGTTTCTGTGATGCCTATTATATCAATATCCTCCTTCATCACGAGGCACTCTAGTTCACCCGTCTTATCATTTAGACTTCTAGCATTTGCGTACAAGCACTTTAAAAACTTGTCACTGTTTATTTGTCTGTGCTTTTCTGATGTGTCCGATTCTTTTTTATGTGAATGTTTCTTGTCTGATCTGGCCCTTACATTATCCTCTTCCATCCTTTCCTCTTGACTAAAACCTAGAAACATACCCAAAAAGGTCACTTAACTCCCAATCATGCAAAGCCTTACACATATACTTCACTTTATACATGGGATTGGTCCTTTTGATGACTATTAATGGAAAACTGTGAAACTGACTGTACAAAGTGAAGTCGGACTCAGTTTTTGCCGCCTCCCATTTACCCCTTCCACTCCCCAGGTTAACTATCATTTTCTCTTTTAGTTGTAGACATTTTAGGGTCATATCTTGTAACTGGATCCACATGTTTAGACTCTATACTCGCACTGAGTCTGTTTGAAATTTAGTGAGTTTCTGTGCATTTCCAAGGGTCTGCCTGTCTGGATCCATTTGTAGAATCCCACCTCTAAGTGTTGCTTGTAACAGTAGCAGACCAAAAAAATCCATATTGGACTTTTGAGAGAAGTGGTCTGAAACAAGCATGCTCCAATATGTTCCAAATTTATAAACTACTCTGAAATTACCTCTGTTGGAGTTGGATAGTAATGCTGTCTTGTGAAAAGTTGACAGCAATTACTCTTTCTCCAAGTGACAGTGGAGCTGTTTTTCTTTGAAAGTGAGACCACCACTATTCTGACAAGTACCTTGATTAGCTAGGTATTGTGATGCACCCCTTGTTTGAAGTTGGAGGGGTTAGTCAAACAACTCTATCAAAGTGCCTGAAAATCTCAGTTCTTTATGACTTGTGTTTGATTTTATTATCTGGTTAATTGCATAGCATAAAGATTATTTTTGTTTTGCTTTCTTCCTATTATACTAGCTGCTTCTGCAGAAGAGATGATGAAGAAATTTGTGTCCTGGGACACTGAGAAGCACCTGAGCTTTGCTGTACCCTTTGCAGACATGAAGCCAGTCATCTACCTGGATTTGTTCTTGCCTCGTGTGACTGAATTAGCTCTATCTGCTAGCGACAGGCAAACTAAAGTATTGCCATTTTTTGTGTTTGTTTTCATTATTAAATAATTGTCAGCTAATGCTTGTAAAAGATCTACTTTCTTTGTGAAGACACTTCTGTTTTTGACTAAATCCTAGACTGTAACATGGATCCTTGATGCAGCTCTATAATCGTGTTGCTCTCCACGCTACAAACTAAGAAGTTATAGAACATAGATCCTTTGAACTGTACTGTACAGCCATGTGCTTCCATGGTTAAACTTGTAGTGAAAATGAGGGTTTAAGATGGCTTTCTTTTGTGTTATCTGGCCTCCTTCCCTGGCATAGTATGCAAGCTTGTATTTTTTCCCTCTTTCTTGGCCCCGATGCAGGAAAGTAATTAAGGACATGCTTAAGTTCTTTGCTGGGTTGGGATCATGTTTTTCAAAGAAAGACAAGGCCAGTAGGAATCCAGCAATGCATGGCTATGAATGGTTTTCAGTAATGTGTTTTCTCCAGGTCATAAATTCCAAGGCCAGAAGGGACCGTTGTGATAAATTTAGCCTGGCCTCCTGTATAACACACAGGCCGTAGAACTTCCCCAAAATAATTCTTAGAATGTATCTTTTACAAAAACATCCAAAAAACCCCAATTGTGCACAATGAAATGGGAGGCAATAACTTGCTATTAAAAACTGGATTAGTATCTGAATTACTTTGTGAGCACAGTATTGAAGTACTTCTTAGTGCAATATTTGTTGCTAGTATGAGGATGCAGTATGGATCAAAACCAGTTCATTAGCATTTATTAGTGACAATAATTTCCTGTGCCCCCATTCCTTGCTTGTGTAAGTAACTGGTACGTAACAAAAAAGGCTGATCAAACCTTTATTGCAGGTTGCAGCATGTGAGCTCTTGCATAGCATAGTTATGTACATGTTGGGGAAAGCATCTCAAATGCCAGATGGACCTACAGGTTCCCCACCCATGTATCAGCTGTATAAACGAATGTTTCCTGTACTGCTTCGGCTTGCCTGCGATGTAGACCAGGTAAATACATTTATTTGTTTGTGCCTCCTACTGAAGCTCACACTTTGTACTGTTATATCTTAGAAAATTCCTTTTTAGCTTAGTTAAAAGCATCTAAACTTTGGAATACATTTACTACATGATATAAAATATTATGGCACATGCTGCTTTATTTATTTATTTATTTATTTAATAAATACTTTTGTTTACTGAGATCCTTATTCCCCAAGCTTCCAAAGTGGAAGACAGAAGCCTCCTAGAAAAGTCCAGTGATGGACTGCAATACAGATTAATTCACAGGAGTATAATTAAAGGAACAGTCTTCTCTGATTCATTCTAAGAGTTTTTTCCAAAGTATGAGTTCTTGATTTCTATAGCAAAATAAGTTAATTTTGGGAGAGGTGAATTAATCATTCCAAATACAGAGTTAATGTACAGCTGCCATGCTCCAAAGAAAAAATACATGAGGCACAATTTGTGATATTTGGTATCTGGCGGTGGTGATATACATAAGTCTGTATGCTTCTATAACATCTTCCAGCCAAAGATCTCAAAGCATATTAACCCTCACATCCTTTGTAGGAAGGTATTATCATCCTCATTTTTACAGATGGGGAAGCTGAGTCACACAGAGATTTAAAATAACTGAACATATAAGGTTTTTCAGATTCTGAAATGTTTCATCCTATAAAGGAATTATGTCTTCAGACCCACCAGCTGAGTTTCTCTTCCAGTGCACCAAAATAAAAAGATTAGACATCAAGTCTAACTAATTGCTGGTGTAAATGTGTGTACAGCTGCATTGAAGTCAGTGGTGATGTGCCCAATTACAGCTATGCAAGTCTGAAGTTAGTGTGCATGGGGCCCATATGGCGTCCTCAGTCTGGGTGACGTTTTCTCTATTTTGAGATCAAATAGAATTTGCATTTTGAAAAATATGTAGGAAATGACTATACCAACTGAAGTAAAACCCTCTTTGCAGACATAGATCTACATTAATTACATCAAGGTTGAATTTGGCACATTTAAGTTCTTTAAATGCTCTTTTCTGTCAAGATGTCAATATTTGGTAATATTTGACATTCAAGTAAGAGTGTTAAAATCCAACAACATGTTAAATAGTAAGGGTAAAAAGATGCTAAAAAAACCCCAAAACTGAGTATGGTTTAAAAACCAGATAAACTGCTCTAACTACCTGCCTTCCTTTCAAAGGCTGGTTGTATGCACCAGTGTTAACCAGAAGATTGTGGTGTGTGATGTCACTATGTGAGTGAGAGTGAGCTTGGTGAGCTCTTAGCTTTGAGGACCTGAAAAGGGAAAACAGAGTCTAGATGATTCCAAGTCTCATGCTGCTTTTATCCTTGCTGTTGGATATGTGGACCTATAATTATGAAGTTATTGGCTTTTCACTCATTCACTTTACAGACTCCTCTTTTTTTTAAATGTTGTTTTTTTCATTGTCAAATGAAAACAAACTAGAATATAAATATATATTTTAACCTAGTGGGTGGTGGTTTTCATCTCTTCAGGTAACAAGGCAGTTGTATGAGCTTCTAGTCATGGAATTGATTCACTGGTTCACCAACAACAAAAAATTTGAAAGTCAGGACACAGTAGCATTGCTGGAAGCTATTCTGGTAGGAAGTTGGTTTCTCTTTTATTATTATTGTTATTGTTTTATTTATTATTCTTGTGTGATGTCTTTTAAAAAGTAAAGTATGATCTGCTAAAGGAACTCTAACAACGAATATACACATTTTACATGTAAAAAGAAATCCAATTTATTACTTTCTTCCGTAGGCCATCTTTATTCATTATTACACCTCTACCCCAATATAACGCAATCTGAAAAAACAAGAATTCGGATATAACAGTAAAGCAGTGCTCCGGGGGGGCAGGGCTGCACGCTCCGGCAGATCAAAGCAAGTTTGATATAAGTCGGTTTCACCTATAACGCGGTAAGATTTTTTTGACTCCCGAGGACAGCGTTATATTGGGGTAGAGGTGTACTTACTTTTATGTTGGGCTTTATACTCCTGTGAATCCTTCATCTTTTTTTGCACTTGACAATTTCTAAATAAGTCAAGTATCTTGAAAATTAGCAAGCATATTGTGAATCTTGGAAAGATCCTAGCTATCCTTTTCGTGATCAGTGTGTACAAGAAAGTACTAAAATACCATTTTGTAGAGACTGTGAAAGTTTTCTGCAGCTGTTATTCAGGCAGAAGTTTAATTACTTTTTGCACCATACTGATCAATTAAAAGTTATCACAGTGGTCAGGTGAATGGAATTGTTAACCAAAAGAACTTTTTCTCCCATTTGTTGGGTATTCAGCTGAAATAGGTATTAAACAAAAATACCACCCAGAAATAGTCAGGTTAAATATTCTTTTTCCATTTGGCTCGTAAGATACACTTCATTAATACTGTGATGTCATTGTACTAGTTCTCCAGTTGTTCATAAACTTAAACTTCCAGGGGGGAAATGGGTAGACAAGACTCTGAATTTCAAATAGAAACTACAAGCAGAAAAAAAATCTTAGTTATTTTCGCCCCAAACAAACAAAATTCCAGATGCCTTTATATATTGTAAAGATAAAAAAGGGGACCAACCTCCTTTCCCTTTGTAAATGATCTGTGAAGTACTGCCTTAATGCAGGAAGTCAGTTTTTAGACTGGGCAAGGGATATTGTGTCTGGATGACTTCAGTAAGGAATTTTACTTTTAATCTAAAAGCTTACTCACATGCACCAATTTTCTCCTCCCCGCCCCCCACCCCCGTGCGCAAACCTTTTATTTATTTATTTTTTGAGCCATTTATACTGTGAATTATTTTTTCTTTATGCTTATTCTTATATTTATGTCCGTTGGAATAATACATGATATTTAACACTTATATCTGAAGTTCTCAAATCCCTTCACAAACATTAATTGAATAGACCTCATCTCCCCTATGAGATGTCTCTGATAAATATTGTCCCCTTTTTAAAGATGGGAAGACTGAGGCTTGGAAGTTAACTTGCCCAAAGTCATACAGCAAGCCTCTGACAGCACCAAGTTTAGAACCTTGTTCTGACTGTCTAATCTAATTTTTCTAGGTTCTTATCAGATGCCTGTTACCATAGTATCTGAGCACTTCTTAATAAATACATAAACCTTAATATAAGAGTATCAAAGGGGTAGCCGTGTTAGTCTGGATCTGTAAAAGCAGCAAAAAGTCCTCTATAAGGTGCCACAGGACTCTTTGCTGCTCTTAATATAAGACAGAGTCTAACAAGTGGCATAGATTTTTCCCTCTACCTTGGAAGATTGTTGGAGTTTTTTCCCCAGACATTTGTTCTGTCCAGTTCTTCGCTTTATACATTACATTATTCTGTCTCTCACATATTGCAGGTGTTGACTCCTTTCATCTGGGCACTAGAGTGAAAGTAGGCCTGTGACGGGGAGGGAGAAACCTACTTTTGTATGAAGTAGAAAACCACAGCAATGCTAGCCTTGAAGCTTATACTTCTTGTAATGAAACAGTCTGCCCTTAATTTCAGGATGGGATAGTGGATCCTGTTGACAGCTCTTTGAGAGACTTCTGTGGTCAGTGTGTTAGAGAATTTATGAAATGGTCCATTAAGCAGACAACGCCGCAACAACAGGAGAAAAGTCCAGTGAACACCAAGTCACTCTTCAAGCGACTGTACAGCCTTGCGCTTCACCCTAATGCTTTGAAGAGGCTGGGAGCAGCGCTTGCTTTTAACAACATCTATAGAGAATTTAGGTGAGCCGAAAACTTGAACAGTAGCTAAGCTAGAGTAAAATAAACAATGTTAATATACTAGAGGAGAGAGACATTTTGAGACGAGAACCCAGGTTTTTATCCACTTACACTGATGTTGCTTGATGCTGACCATTAATATGTAAAGAAGCTGTATCAATGGACCTCTTAAGACTATATATTGTGGGTGAAATTCACTTCACTCACAGAGAGCCTAAATATTTGGGTTCTATGGTGCATGGAGAGCAGTGAGGCTGAGGTGGTGAATTTCCATCCCAAAGCCAGATAAGAATAAGTTGTTAATATTTAAGTGTGGTTTTTTTTTTTTTTTTTAAAGTACCACTTTTAATGATGGCTAGGTAATTTTTCTCTTTTGCTGATAATGGTCTAAAATATTTTTGCAGTTTGAGTTAAGAAGCATAGGCTATTTCTTTGTTGATTTGAAATGTGGCACTATCTTGTTTAACTTATTTCTAAATTTCATATTTGAGTTTCATATTCACGTGTCTATTGCTACTCCTATTCATGTTTCTTAGCATATTTGCTCTGTTCATCATTTTATAGGGAAGAAAATTCTCTAGTAGAGCAATTTGTGTTTGAAGTATTGGTTGTGTATTTGGAAAGTCTGGCCTTGACCCATACAGATGAGAAGTCACTAGGTGAGTTGAAACTGATTTATTGTGAAATGGAACGAATAAACCATCCTGTCTCTCATCCTTTTAGATGGCTAATGAAACAATCTTAAGTAAGCCAAACCATGACTTCGAAGTTGTAGGTAAACTACAGTGCAGTTCCCTTCTTACCAGAGGATCAATTATTTTCCGTTCTCAGTGCTCCTCATTAAATTGGGTTTCTGACTTACTGACATTTCTGTGCAAATTTCTTAAATGTGTGGGATTTTTATATCTGTATGTAAAATAAAGCTGAGTTTTACAGATGTTTTACAGCAAAACTTCAAAAAGCTGAGTGATGCTTCTGATCTATGTCTCCTACTCCCACAGTTACACAAAGTAAAAATGGAGCCCAATGGTTTTTAGAGTTTAAAGGCTATTTTGTAACAAATATGGAGCTTAAACATATTTTTCTGCATTGATGGAGAGGGCTCCACCTACTTAGCAGCAGCAACAAGCCCTTTTATGCTCCCCCATTTGGTTCTGGGAATGGAAATTGTGTGAATAGTTCATGACCTCTTCCCCAATATTAAATAATAACCTATATTATTATATTTACTTGCCTTTTTTCCAGTAGCCCTTTGTCAACTAATAATGGTTAAAATGTAAAACCAAAACCTTGTTTACAAATCTTTCTTTATTTCTTTCAAAGAAAAAAATTTTGGGTGTGATATTTTAGTGGGAGTGGCCACGGGAATGTTCATATGGAAAAGAATGAGCTCCTTTGTTGTGTGAGTTGGGTCATATATGCCAAAGAAATTATCTCTAAATGATGTATACAGGAGGTAGGAAAGACGATTTTGTGGCAGAGGCCTGGGAGTCAGGTTATGTAGTAACTGGGGATTTTATAGTAGATGTAATATATCTGGACTTCAGTAAGGCTTTTGACACTGTCCTATATGACATTCTCATAAGTAAACTAAGGAAATGTAGCCTAGATGAAATAACTGTAAGGTGGTTGCACAACTGGTTGAGAGAACATACTAAGAGTAGTTATCAATGGTTTGCTGTCATACTGGGAGGACCTATCAAGTGGAATCCTGCAGGGTTATGTCTTAGGTCTGGTACTATTCAACACTCTCATTAGCGACTTGGATGATGGAGTATAGAGTGTGTTTATAAAATTAATGGATGAAACCAAGCTGGGAAGGGTTGAAAGCACTTTGGAGGACAGGATTGGTCAAATCCTTGACAAATTGGAGAATTGGTCTGAAATCAGTAAAATGAAATTTAATAAAAACAAGTACAAAGTACTAAACTTAGGGAGGAAATATAAAATATACAAATATAAAATGGGGAATAACAAGCTATGTGGCAGTACTGCAGAAAATGATCTGGCGGTTATAGTTAAGGCTCTGTTTTTTAGACAGGTATTTTTAGTAAAAGTCATGAACAGGTAACAGGCGGTAAACAAAAATTCACGGCCTGTGACCTGTCCATGACTTTTACTAAAAATACCAGTGAATAAAACTTGTGGGGGGACTGTCCGGGGGCCCCAAGGGTGCTGGGGAGGGCGGCCCAGCTGCTTGTGGGAGGGCGGGTGGCAGTGCACATCCCAGGCCTCCTGCTGGTGCTGGGAGGCTGTGGGTGGCAGCATGTGGCGCAGGACTCCCACTGGTGCTGGGTGGGCACGGGTGGCGGCCCGGGACCCCCGCTGGTGCTGGGGGCGGGGGTGGTTTGGCGGGGCTGGCAGGCTCCCTACCTAGCACTGCGCCTCCCCCCCTGCAGCAGCAGAGTTTTTGGTGTGTAGGAGGGGGTTGGGGTATGGGACAGGGTGAGGCGGGCTCTGGGCATTGCTTACCTGGAGAGCTTCCCGGAAGCGGCGACATCCCCCTCGTTCAGCTGCTAGGTGGAGGCGTGGCCAGGCAGGTCTGTGTGCTGCCTCTGTCTGCAGGCACCGCCCCTGCAGCACCCATTAGTCGCGATTCCCAACCAATGGGAGCTGCAAAGCCAGCGCTCTGCATCTGCCAGGAGCACTGCCGCAGAGCTGCCTGGCTACGCCTCCACCTAGCAGCTGAGCGAGGGGAATGTCGCTACTTCCGGGTAGCCCCTCAGGTAAGCGCTGCCCAGAGCCCACCTCACCCCATCCTGTGCCCCTGCTCCTCTCACACCCAAACTTTGCTGCTGGGGGATGGGTGGGGGATCTGGGGTCCCGAGACTGCCCCAGCAGCGGCTGGTGCTGCCCCTGAGCCAGGCGCACCGGCCGCTGCAGAAGTCACGGAGGTCACAGAAAGTCATGGAATCCGTGACCGCCGTGACAAACTCGCAGCGTTAATTATAGTGCATCACAAATGGAATATGAGCCAACAGAGTGGTGGTGTGGTGAAAAAGGTAAATGTCGTTGTGGAATATATTAACAGGAGTGTTGTATGTAAGACATAGGAGGTAATTGTTCCACTATATTCGGCATTGGTGAGGCCTCAACTGGAATGCTGTGTCCAATTTTGAGAAAGAAGTTAATGAATTGGAGTCCAGAGGGGAACAACATAAATAAGACCTTAGAAAACTTTAAGGATAATTGAGCACTGGAGCAGGTTACCTCGGGAGGTTGTGGAATCTCCATTCTTTGAGGTTTTTAAAAACAGATTAGATAAAAAGCTGTCAGGAATGGCCTAGGTATACTTAATCCTGTCATAGGATGGGTGACCTCTACTATGACTCCCAGCTGTTTCACAGGCTTGCTGTGTGACCTTGAGCAAATTATCATAGAAATGCAAAGCCTGATTATTAGTAGGCATGATCATGCATGTAATCCTCATGGAAATCCCATGATAGAAATACACATTTCTGCAGCTTAGAGTCTCCCACAATTCTGTTATGTCTGGGCTGCTCTCCTTCATGCTGCAGTTTCTGTAGGTGGTTTGAACTCACAGCACTGCTCATGCTGGCCACACCCTTTTCTCTTGCTTGCCGCCAGATCTTCTGCTTCTGCAGCAGCAGTCAAGCGGTGGTTCATTTTACTCCTGTCCTTCCAATTTATTAGTTATTCAGCCATTTTGGGGAGTGATGAGCAGTTCTCTTCTTCCGAGCCTCCTCTCCTCCTTTTTGGTTCAGGGTCTGAGCAGCATGGTGGTCACAGCCACCTGAAGCCTCTGCTGCAGTGTCTCCAAGCTGAGCTCCTCTGCCCCATTTTAGGCAGCACAACCGTAAGCACTGGTCTAAATCCAGAAGGATCCAGTGTAAGGCAGCTTTCCCAGGCTTAGCTGAAGGTGACTATTCCAATTATCACAAGAGCTCTCTTCTTTGGAGAAAAGTTAGATAAGATAGCAGAAAATGCTGCAAAATCTAAGTAATCCTTTCTCCCTCACTGAGTGCTCTCAGAAGGGATGCAAACCTGCTTTCAGGCAGAGACGCTCCTTTTGTTCCTGCTCCTCTCAGAAATATCAGAGGAGGGTGTGATGGGCGTCGGAGGCAGTCCAGACCAGTGAGTGGTTGCCTTCTAATTCTAGATTGCCTCATACTGCTTTCCTGCTGTAGCTCCCAGCCTTGGATGCTCACAACCAGCCTACCGGCATGCAGGTCACAACCTGAATGTCTGTGTACTAGACAGCTCTGACCCCAGCAGACTGTCTGCAGCCTCACTGTGGTTTCCACTAGCTTTTGTTACAGCAAGGTGACCCCAACATACTCCCAGTCCCAAATTTCCCCAAAACCATGTGTCCTGTAATGCCCAGCCCTCTCCTAGACACTTCAGAGAAATGTTAGGGTCTGTTCTTCTAAAGCAGAGGTGGCCAACCTGAGCCTGAGAAGGAGCCAGAATTTACCAATGTACATTGCCAAAGAGCCACAGTAATACATTACCAGTCCCCCATCAGCTCCCCCCAGCACCTCCTGCCCACCGGCAGCCCCGCCGATCAGTGCTTCCCTGCACCTCCCGATCAGCTGTATCATGGCACGCAGGAGGCTCGGAGGGGGAGGAGAGAGGGCATAGCAGGCTCAGGGGAGGGCGTGGGAAGGGGTGGAGTGGGGGCAGAGCCAGGGGTTGAGCAGTGAGTACCCCTCCTCCCCCTGGCACATTGGAAAGTGGCACCTGTAGCTCCAGCCCTGGAGTCGGTGCCTATACAAGGAGCCGCATATTAACTCCTGAAGAGCCGCATGTGGCTCCGGAGCCACAGGTTGGTCACCCCGGCTCTAAAGACTCAAAAGCACATCACAGCTTATTACTCACTGAGGTGAGTACACCCTTCCCTTTAAGCACAGCATTGAATTGGTTTATAGTAAAATTAAGACAAATTTATTAACAACAGGATATAGGTTAAGTGATGCCAGGTAAAAGGAATAAAGTTAGAATGGGTTACAAGAAAATAAATATGAAAACGTGCACCTAAAGGTCTAAAACACAGTGTAGTAAGGTACATTCATTGCCTAAGGAGGTTTTTCACCTATATTCAGTTTCCAGAGACTACTATGAGAGTGCAAAAGGCCAGCTATAGCTCAGTGTCTTCAGCTACCAGTCATCTTGGTCTCATGCACAGGAATCACTCCCAGGGCAAGGTGATACATCTGAATTCTCCAGGTCTTCCTCCTGAAAGTATGAGACCACTCCCTTGGGTGCATGACGGATCAGGTGCTCAGTTTCCTAACATAGTGGACAGCCTCAGGGAGTGTCTGCAAGGGCCCTCCCCATTGTGCCTTCCAGACCCTCTGATTCTTGCAACCAATACCAATCTGAAGGGTTGGGAAACACAGTTGGGACCCAAAACCACACAAGGAATCTGAGAAAGTCTCCTGGAGCTCAGACTGGTCAAACTAGCCCTACAAAGGTTCCAGAGCCCCTAGCGGGGAATCACTTTCTGGTTCAGTCAGACAACACTACCATGATCACATATATAAACAACCTAGGAGGCACGAGGAGCCCAGTGCTACACACACAAGTGATGGAAGTAACGAGATGAGCAGAATGCTTTCTCCCTTCCTAAAAGTGATCCATGTGAAAGGAGAGATGAACTAGAAGGCAGTCCGGCTCAGTAAACGCAAAGTCAACAACTTGGATTGGTGCCTGAAGTCTTCAACTTGATTTCTCAGATATTTGGTCTCCCTTCAGCCAACTTGTTTGCAAACCTCAGGAATATAAAGCAATCAAAATACTTCACCAGTGAAACAGACCCCAACTCCATGGGACTAGATACCTTGTCACACAGATGGCCACAAGGTTTGCTATATGCCTTCCCCTCCTTCCAACTCTTAGAGAAAGTGATCTGAACAATAAAGCTGGAGCCAGCAAAGGTAATAATGCTTATTCCCGAATGGCCAAAGGGGCCCGTTTTCCAATCTGATAGAGGTGAGACTGGAACCACCGTTACCTCTGTGACAAGACATCTTTTTCTAAGATCATTTTCTCCATCCAGACCCAGATCGGCTACAACTAACAATTGAAAGAGGACCATTAACAACACTCAATCTGTCCTCCAAAGTGATCAAGACATTGCTATTATCTAGGAGAGCCTCTGTGTTAAAGGCTTACTCCTGTATCTGGACCAAGTTCAGCATTTGATGCCTGGAGCACAGTGTTAGACCCAAGAGATCCAGGGATTCTGGCTATTTTGGACTTCCTCCAAAAGGGTGTGGGTAAAGTGTCTTCTACCCAGTACCATAGCACACCAGGTATCATCCATCTGTTGTGTTCTATACTCAGGGTCTTTGGGCTCCTTGGCAGAGAACCCCCTACGTATCCAGGCTTCTCAGAGCAGTCAAACTGATCAGGCCAGTTGTCAGGCAGTCTTCCCTTAGCTTTTGAACCATTTGAACCTCTGACTTCAATATCGGCAATCTACCGCTCAATCAAAACCTGTTTTCTGGTCTCCATTATGTCTGCTTGTTGAGTGTCAGAGTGCTAGCTCTATCTATGCAAGAACTTTACTGCATGTTCCATGATGACAAAGTAGTAATGAGAACTTTGGAATTATTTCTTGCCAAAGTGAACTCTTTTCCATGCTTCAGAGTAGATTATTAATCACTCATTCTGTCGAGGGCCTGATTTCTGGCACACCTCAGAAATCAGAAGAGCACTGAAGGTTTACATCAAGTGTACAGAATCCATCCAAAGTGGCCAAGGACTGAGTTTCCAAGCTATATATTGCCAGATGGATCAGACTGTGCATTGTTGAGGCCTACAAGGCATCTGGCATCTCTGTTCAGAAGGAATCCAGGCATGCTGCACGAGATCCAGGGCAGCCTTGTAGTCCAAATGGTCAAGGGCTTCCACCTCAGAGATATGGAGAGCGGCTATCTGGTCTTTAGCTAACACCTTATCAGACACTATATAAATTGTCTGCAGAAGCTGCCTTCTGCATGAAAGTGCAGCAGGTGGTGGCCCAATAATAATGCCTGTTGAGCAATTTTCAATAAGGGGGATTCCCTTCCTATCTCATTCTGTTTTTCTTTTTCCTCCCTACTTCTGCTCACTGCTCCCCAGACGTAACAGAATTGTGGGAGAAGCTGGGCTGCAGAATGGAAAATTTCTTATATAGTAATTTTGTTTCTGCCAGCAGCGTCTCCCACAGTTCTACCCACCCTGGATGGCTTCACTATTGAGGGTAAGCTTTTCATTTAGATCATTAGCACATAGGCTGTTTGCTTGTTATAAATAGTTATTGAGTTGGCATTGAGGTTATTGTTACTAATTGCTTGCCATTCATTTTATGCAGCTTAGAAATGACTTATCTGGCAGCAAGTGGGAGAAGGGGGCATGTCCAGCGTGAGAAGTGCTGTAACTTTAAACCATCTCCAGAAACTGCAGAGTGGAGGGGAGCATCCCAGACATAATATAATTTTGAGAGACTCAGCTAGCAGAAAGGAAATTATTGGGTCAGGAATTTTCCATTCTTTGTTAACTGGGCCAAACTATTGGCATTTATTCATTGATGAGCACTTCCCTTCTCTTTGATAACAGGTACAGTTCAACAATGTTGTGATGCCATTGATCATCTAAAGCGCATAATTAAGCACAAAGCATCTTCCCTAAATAAGGCAGAAAAACGGCGGATACCACGGTCAGTTGTTTGAGATTTTGCCTTTCCAAATACATCATCTGAGTTTGTAACATATAGCTTTTGTAAAAATGTAGGGTGATGGGTGTGGACTTAGACATATGACTCCCATTAATGTGTAACTGCATCCCCACATGTGCTGAAAACGTTCTCCTGAAATGCCCCTTGAACTGACTAGAATAATAGCACATGATGCTACATGGTGGATCGGAGTTTGAGACTCAAGGACTATCTTTGATTCCTGAAACAGCTCACTCACCTCCATGGGGAGATGGGGAAGAGACTGGCATTGGTTTCCCCACTGTAAACTCTGACCATCTTAGGGGCAGTGTTGGGTAGCCTCTAGAGGGAGCTGCATCGAACCCTTTTTATGCAAAAATATTATGCATCTGATGGGAAAGAGCAGGAAAAAATGAGACTGGATCCTCAGGACTATTAAATAGTCTTGGATTTCCCTCTTCCAGAGGAGGAGGAGGGAGGAGAAGATATTTGAGGTTTAATCTCAGCTTTGTTTGTCTGGAGTTGAAGTGGGGAGGAAAGAGATGGTTGAGTCTTGACATTTTTCTTTTATTTTTCAATCTCCACCACTAATCAAATTGGAGCTCAGATCAGGGAAATAAGTCCAGACTACACCTGTATAAGACCTTGTATTTGTAGTGTGAATGATTTAACCCATCCAATCCCTCATCCCTGCCCATAATTCTTTTAATGAGATAATGGAAAGAACATCCAAAATTCTTCATTGGATATTTAGATTTGCAAATAGAGCAGTATGGCTTCATTAACATGATGGCTGTTGTGGCTTTTCCTTGAAACAAAGAAAAGCCTTTGGGCAAATATCAGTAAGGTTTGTTGATTTGTATTCATTATTTTTGTACAGAGGATTTCCAAATGCTAAGTCAGTGTGTCTGTTGGACCTTGTCATGTGGCTGTTGGTACAATGTGGGCGACCCCAGACAGAATGTCGGCATAAATCCATGGAGCTCTTCTATGAGTTTGTTCCTTTATTACCAGGTACTGTGGGTCATCACATATACCTCTAGTCTCCTGCTTCACATAACTGTTCATTTCTGCTCTCATTTTCTGTGCACTGTCAGTTTTCATTTATTGAATGAAACGTGTTTGGAAATAGGCCCCTTTTAGTATTAAATAAGTACTGAGAAGCTGCAAGTATTTCATTCAATATAAAAACTGTGCATTTTTTACCTTGCAAGCTTCCTCCAGCCAGTGTGCCTCAACTCTGACATGGAGAGACCACCTTTAGATACTGGACAATTATTGTAGCCAGCTGTGAGGGGATCCTCAGCTGATGCAGAGCCAGAGGAGTGGTGCCTAAGCCACCGTCTTCCTTGCAGTTGACATATGCAGTGTGGCCAAGGGAATCTCTGACTTCTATATTGGCTGTCTCCTCTTCCAGAAAATAAGAGCAACTAATGGAATAGGTTTTTGAGTGTTGATCCGTGTCCATAATACCTTGCTGAATGCAGCTGTGTATTTACCTAAAGAACATTGATTTCTGTATGCTTCTTTATCAGGAAACCAGTCCCCATCTTTGTGGCTAGGTGATCTTCTAAAAAAACAAGGAATCTCTTTCCTCATCAACAAATTTGAAGGGGGAGGTAATGATGGTGACAATCTCTCTGGAATCCTTTCTCAGCCAACACTGTGTGACATGCAGGAACCCTTTAGTTTGCGAGCTGTTGTGCAGTGGATGGATATGTTTTTAGCAGCTCTGGACTGCTACAATACATTCATCGAGCAGGGAATGATCAAACCAAACGAAATACTAGGTAGGTAAATCCTGGCTGCAGCTGGTTCAGTATTATCCGTTACATAAACTCACTCTGGGGTTCCTAGCTTCGGCTTATAACACTTGTTTCAAGAATAGATTTGATTTACAGGTTCACAATCAGTTTCAGCAACAATTGCCTTGCCTCGTGGATTTTTTTGTAACAGCGGGCTAGTATAATACCTTATTTACTTTGTGTTATCGAAATGTTTCATTGCAAAATGTTTCATTATAAAAACACTAATTTAAATTTCTTTCCCTCATGGATTTCTTTTCCCCTCACTTTGTTTAACTGTGTCCCACCTTAAAAGGCCCTGCAGTGCAGCAACCCTACCTCCAGTGAGAAGGTCTGGGCATGATTCCTTCTAAAGCCCATCACCGCTCTCCTTCACTTACTGTACTTAAAGTTTACCAATTAACAATGTGAGGTGCTTCCTTCCCTCTCCACTGCTAGCCCAGTCATTTGAGTTTGTTGTTTTTCTCATGCTTCAGTCCCACCCAACCTAGGGAGCTCAGTACTTGTATTCTGATAACATGAATACCAACATCTTGTGTAGCCGTTAGGCCATTGGGTCTGCATCCAATAAAAGTTTTTAAATTATTCAGACATTTCTAAACAGCATGTTTCCGTAGTAGTAAAATGCAATGATGGAATTAGATACACACCGACCAGTATTTTACAAATGGGTGTCAGGGCAAGATACCTAGCTTCATTAAAGCTGTACAATAAGATTTTTACTAAATGCAGTTATTAGAGGGCCAGATTTTCAAAGATGTGGACTTAGAGTTACATCCATATAATTACATATGCCTGACTTGTTTGCAGATACCTAATGCACACATCCACTAAGAATGCTTAGTTCTCTGAAAAGCTATCCCTCATGTCCAAAAGTTAATACTAACAATGTAATTGAAATATGGTTTGAAGAAAAAAGCTCATTCTTTCACTGGTGGGGGAAAGTTTTTTTGACTTTTTCCCTCCATATTTTCATTATGTCAGTCTTTCTCTTTATGCTGAGCATAAAATGTATTTTTAGATTTGTGGGGTCACCATATATATTTAAATTTGGTGTAATTCCTTCTAGGTACAAAGATGAGGTCTTCATTCCTGAGAGCTGTGGAGTTCTTCCTTAAAACTATTGTCTTGCATGATATATCTGCAGCAGAGCGATGCTTTGACACTGGGTCAAAAGGCAATATGTTCAGCCCACAAGAAAGAGAAGAGTATAATTACAGCAAATGCACAATCATAGTCCGAATCATGGCATTTGTCAGCATGATCCTGGAGACCTGCCAACAGGATTTCTGGAAGGTAGGTGTTGAAGCTATTGGTCTGTAGAAGGTGACGTCTGCAGTTGTTGCAATTGTTATTTAAAGTTGTTGTTTAAGCATTGTTGATTTGAGAGAGAGTGGGGGACTCATGACTAGCTAGGAGGAGTGGATCATCCTTTGCAATACCTTGGGCCATTAATCCTAGCTGGTTATTAAGCCCCAGGAAGTGTCCTGCTCTTTGGACATTACTGCTTCAGTAAGCTGAAGGAAACCCTCACTTCATGGATTATTTTGCAATGAGTGATGCAGTTCTAATTAAGAGAAATTAATACCATGTATATTTGCCAGTCAGGTTGCTTGAATCACCATCAGCATGACACCCATGATGATGGTATTCCACACAGGATGTCTTATGTTCTTGAATTTAGGAATTTTTCTAAGTGATCATAGTACAGATAGCGTGAGAGAGACAATGGCTATAGAAATAACTGTGCTCTGCATTTTTCCTGTTAAATTCCTTTTTGAAGAATGAACATGCAAGTCTGTCTCTGTCTCTCTCTCTGTGTATTTAACGTAATATAAATTGAAGTTTTAATATCTACACTTTCTTATGAGTTTAAAAAAGGGCACTAAGTCAATTTCTGGGACTACAGGTGCATAACTGGCAGTTGCATAATTTGTTTAGATGCATAACTAGCAGTCTTCATGTGTGTAGAAGTCTGTAGTATTGGCACGTTATTTGAACACTAAAATGAACACATATGATGTGCACCTGCATCTTTAAAAATGGCCATTTAATTTCTATAAATCAGAGTAATTACAATATATTGAAAATGAGCCATTTTAGAGAGAAAGAGATTAAGATTAACAATTGAATAGCCATATTTTGCTTATTTCAGGCTCAGGAAAAATCATGGAAAGCTGAATAGGTCAACAAATAGGATTAAGAATAAAATGTCTCCACCTTCATTTTAATCTTTTGTTCTTTCTAGTTACTTGAGAAGGAATTGCTTAATGCAAATCTGATAGAACTTCTTGGGAGAATAGTGTGTGATCCAGCAAACATAGGCTTTAATACAGCTGATGTACAAGTCATGAAAAATCTCCCAGATGTTTCTGTGAGGCTCATAAAAGCTTTGATGAAATCTCCCTATAAAGAATCCTTGGAGCTAAGCATAAAGGAAAGAATAACATCACAAAGGTAAGAGCTCTCTGATAGCCATAAATGTCTAATTTAAAATCAGAACAAATGCAGTACATAGTGAGAGATGCAAAGTGAATGAAGCTTCCATTGCACAGTTGTAGGATGATGTCTTTTTTTCATGTTATATTGATACACCCACAGGCAATCAATGTTTTTGTTTATTTTTCCTTTCCCTTGTCAGCATCGAGGAGCTTTGCTCTGTTGAGCTGTATAATCCAGATGCTCGTTTTGATCACGTTAGACTAAGCTCCATCTTGTCTGCATGCAGGCAGCTCCACAAGGCTGGCCTGCTTCATTCCACACTTCAATCACAGGTAAACATTGATTCAGAGAATAACAGTTAAGATTTTTCATATAAGAGTAGGGTTACCATATGTGGA